TAATCTTTAAAAGGATACATCTTGTGCATCAGGTGTAAAATCTCTTGCTGATAACTGATCTACATCTTCATCTGTAAGTGTCCATGAGGTGTCTGGATTGGGCCTCAGTGTCTGCACACCTTCCCCCTCAAGGGGAGAATACTATACTGAATATTTATTTCTTCATCCCTCAGCACTAGTCAAGACACTGAACCGAGGAGGAGAACTGTTGGTGAAAATCTGTGTGCCTCGCCCCACAAAGAGGAGCCAGTGAAGTCAGAAAACATAGAAGAGGATGATGAGAACATGATGACAACTTGGAAGCCATTTCTAGTGAATATCTGTATGTTCACTGTCCTCACAGCAGGAGCTTACCTCTGTTACAGGGTATGTTTTCATTGATGGACATGTCAGCAAGATTGAGTATACAAAGAACAACAACAATTTGACCAGTGTGTAATCCGCTTCTATGAAAGAAATCTAATTGAGGCATCTGAGCCTTGTCTCAGTGGAAATATACCTTAGGTTGAAAGGCTGGAACTTTTGGTTAGGGCTTAAAGAGAGAATTGATGCACTAGGGTTTAATTTAGCCCTGTGGTCCCAAGAACATAATATTCTAATCTCAGGGCCTTAAAATATTCAGGAGTAAGCAGAGAAAATGCCAAATAAGTCTTTTTTTTTTTTTCCTTTTTTCTTTTTCTTTTTTCTGGAATAATAGAATTACAACACATTGTTGTTTTTAGCCTTTTTTAAAAGCCAGTTCTTTTTCCTTGTGTTACTTCAGAAAGAAACTAGGCGCAAGTGAAACTTGCTTGTACTCTCCAAGTGTTGTAACCAAATACATGATTTATATTATTACTGAGTTCCCAAAAAGAGAGAGAATCCACATATCTGAAGAATGTAAACTTTTTGGTCTCACTTCATCTGTTAAAGACTCAGTTGTGGGCAGTGCCTGTGGTATTGATATATTTAATCATGGCATAACTGTTCTTAACTAGCTTCTTTTACATATCTTTATAAAAACAGGCTTCTGCATTTGCTCAGGGTATCCCAACATGTCAAACATTGTGTTTTTTTAAAAAACAAAAAGTATTTCCCCATTGACTTTTTTTGTTGCACTCTACTTGCACCTATGCCTACTTACATTGTACCAATCTCTGTAAAGTTGTTTTTACCTTTATATTCTGGGATGTGGGGGAGGAGGGAAGCAGGAAGGGAAATTCAACCAAAACATGTCCACCAGCATTTTACAGCTGTTCAGCTGGCATTTAGAAGGACCAGTTTTTAAACTTCATCATTTGGATCGTAAAAATGCAGTTTCACTCTAAACCTGGCTTGTAAGGAGTAATGTGCTTTGTGCACAAACCAGAGGGAGGAGGAGCGTACTCCAGGATGATGTGAGAAACTATTTGGAAAGCATTTCAATATATCCAGAGCAATTAATGCCTTGGCAGCTTCCTTAACAAACTTAAAAGATCAACAGAAGACCTGTTGGTCTTTGAACATACCAGTTGGCTTATCATGATGCAAGCGATTGTGTGATCTTCTTTTAAGTAAAGATTTCAAAATTGACTTTAGTTTGGTTTGAAATTATGTTGTTAAATGATTACTGGGGTAGTGGGGCATAAGTGCCTGAGGCCTTGCAGCTCTGCAGATGTGGGTGTTCCTATCCTAGCTCAAAGTGAGAAAAGAGCTGGGTGGTGTAGAGTACAGATTAGGACAAAACAACCGAACAATGGCTCAGTTGGTTGTGCCTACTCAAGAGAGGCCCAGGACTTGAATAGTGTTAGGAGTGCATCAGCAGAGCTGTGACTGGAGGCTTGCATTGCACTAAACCTAATTCTCATCAATGCTGTTAATCTTTTCCTTTCATGAGTACGAAATTCATACATTTTAAACAATAGAGAAAATCTTTGCTCATAGGGCAGAGATTAGAAGCAAATTCACTACTTAAAGCAGTAGTGGTTATAACTAAACCATGATGACTGATCTGCAAGTGTTACTAATCAGTGCTTTTAAAATGCATTCTGGTTGTATAGCACTTAACCACCGTTCTCAGTGTAAACATCTTTATGGAGTATATTGTGTAACAGTCCTTTCACTCCATATTTATTTTTTTCAAAGCTGCCAGTAGCTCTTGCTCTTTCCTTAAATCCATAAGGTGTTGACTTGGGGTGGAAGGGTTGTTTTTATTTGTTTTGGGGTTTTTTAAATGTTAAGCTTGCATCAAGGGCTTCTCAAAAGTACAATAATAATAAATCCTCAGGTAGTACTGGGAATTAAAAATTTACCTGTGAGACTGTTGGTCAGACCAGTACTTGAAAGGGGGAATATTGTAAGCAGTCAGTATTTAGTATGTTATTGGAAACATGAAAAATTTGAGTATAGAAAAATGATATAATATATAATGGATCATTTGTGTATTTAAGATACAGTATGTGATTGCTTTGTCCCCGTTATTCTCTCCATCATCTGGTAGAATATTGTTGTAAGGCAACATTTGTACCCCCTTTGTATTAGAATGCATGTAAAGTCTTCTAGTGTCCTGATTAAATACCATGTGCTTGAAAGATGAAAAAACTTATACTTCTGCTTACTGATGTGCCCAAATTATATTTGCATGATCTGATCATTTAAGTGGCTGTGGTTCAAAGGGTGTTGCTGAAAGTGTCTTCATTCAGCGATACATTGATTTGGTGTTTATCAGGTAACGTACTTGCCTAATATTTGGCACGATTTTTTATTGAATTTCTGCATACTCAGTGTAACCCGGTTGTTTAGCATAGTTCATTTCAGCTGAGTAAGTATAATACAGACATTCCAAAGTGTGTATTAAGCCATATTCACACCTCACCTCCAGTCAATTTTGGCAACAAATATCTCAACAATTTCAGAATGACTTGCTGTGCTGCCTTCAGAAACTTGCACTTGGGGAAACTCTGCTTTTGGAAAGGTCACCAATAAAGCAAGGTTTCAAGTGAGTACTTTGTGCCATCAGGCCCTACTTAGTTTGTTTCTAGCCATCAAGACTTGTGAAATAAATGAGTGGCCTATAAACTGAATGGAACTTACAGTATTTTCCTCTATTTGGACAAATGTAAATATTGGGGTTGATGAAAGTATGGAATCCACAGTTGTACTGTATTTTGCAACCTTTCCCACAAATTAAAACTTAGACACATCTCACTGTACAGAGAGACAGCAGCTCTAGCTAATATGCCCCTTTCTCCCAGCTAACTTTGCTACTTGGCTTTCATCTGTTTGAAGTCAAGGGGAGGCCTTGGACTGTAGTGGGAACATACAGTGGAATGCCCTATAAGCCGTGAGGTGTGTATAAGGCTTATAATGCTAAACTGTAAGCATTTTGTTTTGATGTCCTGTATATGTATGTAGTAGTTTGGGTGTGTGTATATACAGTAGTGTTTCAAAGTGGGTGTATTGATTAACCTGTTCTTGGGAAAAATGGACAAATATCCATGTTAAAATTGTTAGAAAGTTAGCTGCTCTGCTATATGCCTTAAGCAAATATTTACTCATCAGGTCTTTCTTTTTTTACAGATTGCCATAGAATAAACTTTTTTAAAAAAATATAAAAAAATAAAAAACAAAAGCTAAATGTTTTGGTATAATACATTTTCAGGTATCTTGTCTTTTGTGTAAGGCGCTGCAATGACCTCAGTTTTCAGTAACTATACAGTTTTTCAATTTCCCATACAAGTTTTCAGTTCTCATTTTAGTTGCAACAATAAAATTTTTTTAAAGAATGGATGTATGAGTCTTTCCACTTCCTGTTTTATCACAGAGGTAGAGATGATTTAGTCACTCTAACAAATTTAGACCTTTAGGTTATCAACAGGATTTCACCTCCTACTGATTATTTTGTGATTTCTCACGTTAATAGAAATATTAAGAATATTTCCACTAGTGCAGAAAACTTGCTTTCAGGTCAGTAACTAGATGTCTGCTGTAAAATAAAATGCATTTTCACTACAGATCTGCTTGCTCATAGATGTTCAACTGAGTTTAAATATGTAGTGTTTCGGTCCTATCTGATGTGCAACCTGCAACATTAAAGATCTCTAAAGCACTATAATTGTTCTTACAACAGTTTACTAGCTGTGGATTGACTTGCTAAATTTGTTCTTCAGGATGGGACTATATGCTACAGCAACCTGTACAACAAGGTTTCCTGCAGATGTAAATATGACATCTCCAAGTATTCTGGGTGCTTTTTCATAGACTTTTTAATGAGACAAGCTTTGGGCCTTTTGATTACCGTTAGATCAATGTCCGTTATGAGAGTGGTGATTGTACACATTCCTCTGCTCTGTATGTGTATATAGTTTAAGTAAAGCTGCCTGGAGATGCCAATCCCAGTAATCCCTTAAAAAGACGTGAGAAACACCAGTGTCGAAGAGATGGGATGTGACACTGAGTCACGTTAGTGTAACTGCATAAAACCTAGCTCAGACTGCAGCTTGGATCAACTTCGTTCTTGTATTGTAATCCTCTCTCACTTTTAAACAAACTCTTCCTTGTTCTCTTGTAAGGATGAAGTTATAATATATGCAAATATTACAACTGTGTGTATGCCCTCTGCTTGTAAATGTCTGCAAATTAAGTGGAGTTCTGTGTACTGCTGAGGAAGAGCTCTCCTGTTTTACGTTTGGAGTGGAACAGTAACCGAAAGATGCTTTTCAAGCCAGCACGTCTCCTCCCTAACATTCCTCTTTTTTTTTTTTATTTAGGAGAGCAAAAAGTTTCAGCCTGACTTTGAATGCCAGGCCTATGTTCTGTTTATTTCCCCAAAACAGCCAGAGCAGGTGCTATATAAACTTATGTTTCTAAAATAATGCTGGTACCTAAACAAATAAATTCAGGTTCATATTTCATAAGCAGTGACCAAAGAACTAAATATGTGATCTATCCTCCCCCATATTTGGCTGTGGCTTATTTCACTAGTTTTGTTCTAAGGGATCTGTTTAATAGTTGCCCCCATAACGTTTTCAGCACACGGACTGTTTAGAAAAAGGCAAGCACTTAATGTTTTATTTAAAATTTTAGAAAACTGTACGTAAACCAACATAGAAATAAATACTGAATAGAAAAGTACAAAGCACAATATACTGTATAATATATACATAAAGACCAAGACTGTTCAAGTATTGTGCCTCACGTGAAGTTCCTAAACCCATATTTGAATACTCAGAGTGGGTGGTCTTATTTTAAGAGCTGAGCATTCAGCACCTTCTGTTGAAAATCAGGCCACTTCTAGGTGCTCAAGTATGGATTAAGGAGCCTGACTTCAGGTACCTTTTTTTAACCTTAGCCTAAGATTAAATGATTAAGTGTATAAATTAAAAACTTGACACTTCTGCCTGGAGCTGTCCATATACAACTCAGTTCTATACACTTAATCCATAAATGTGAAGAATAAACAAGTGCGGTTGAAGGAATATTCCCTTAATAGTTTCCTCCTATCTATGCTTACACGGTTTTCAGATTAGAGTTAATTTCAAACATCTCTTGTTTAAAGCACTGAAATCCCAATTTGTCTACTGTACATTTTTACATTGCTTCCAGAAACCAATTAACTTTTAAGATCTTACTCAAATTTACAAGATAGCACAGACCAGCCTAGAAATGATGTTTTAAAGTGCATGGCAGCTGCTATGACATCACACAGAACAAGTGCTGGTTAATAACTTCAGCTTGGACTAGTTTTCTGCAGATCTAACTAACATTGACTAAGTGTATATAGGTATTCTGGCTCCTGAGTGCTGCTGTCCACATCCACATTGTCTTGTATCCATAAAGTCAAAACTCTAAGGCTGTAGGAAAGCTACATCTAGGACCAGATATTCAGCTGCTGTAATCTAGTGGAGTTATGCTCCTTTCACACCAACTGAGGAGCTGACCCTTCATTTTTAAGTAGTTTGTGTCAAAGGAGGGGAAACCACTTTGGGCTGATAATGAACAGGCCCATTGCCATCAGTTCAGAGTTTCTACATGCGAAGCAGAAAGGAAACCTCTATCTCTTCACACTAAGCTTTATTTCTGCTCATGCTCTCTGCACTAAGAGAGGCAGTACTGTCCCATGCCAGGTCTAAGGCTACACTTTACCTTTGCTCCCTTGCCACTCATGAATCCCCACAGAAGAGGAGGAGAATGAGTCAGGCTTCTTAGTGAAAACAAACAAGTTACTAAATCTCCTGTTAGACTCCCCTTTTGCCTCCTAATGTGGGCAGACTGAGTTTTTTCAAGGTTTATTGTGCTTCCTGGTGGACACAGCCTGAGAGGGCACCACACAGTGATACTTCATGGTTTCAGCTCAGTGTCAGAAGAATTCTGATCCAGCTGCTGTATGGTTTTTAGTCCTAACCTCCCCAATGGAAGCACTGTCCCAAATGGATGCTCCTACTCAATATTCTGAAATCTGCTAGATAACTGTGTGTGCTAATTTAACCACCTATTGGTAAATGGAAAATATACCATGGAAACCAAATCCTTTTGTAGCCATCTGGGCTGTAGGTCAGACCTGGGTTGTAGATCAGCGTCAGCATTTCATTTAGTTAAAATATTGTGATTTCAATTTCACCTTCTTGGTATACAGTGTCTCTCAACTCACAGCATACTCTGTCCATTTTTTCAAAGGCTAGTCGTCCTTTTTCACCTACAAATAAAGATAGATCATAGTGAGGACAAAAAATCTGTGAGGGAAGCTTGGATGAGGTGAGGATCTGTTAAAAGTTTCACCATAGCTCTGTACCTCCTCTTATGACCTTGTTACAACGTGGGTGTTCAGTCACTCTTGAAAATCACCGCCTTAGGGTTTTTTGGATGCTCAGCTTGAGATACCTTTAAAAGGGACCCAGTTTCAAAAAATGGCTGAGCAGCTACCTGCTGAAAATCAGGCCCCTTTAAGGCATCAGTTTGGTGTGTCCAGAAAAAGAGACACCCAAAAGCATAAGTAGTTGGAAAATTTGGCCTGAATGTAGATGAACTGTTGTAAAGGAATACCTTAAAATGAAACCATTCTTGTTTCCTGGGGCGATTGTCTAATCACTGGCCATGAATCTAGATGTGGTAAGAAATGTAGTACAAGTGAAAAGAAAGCCAATATGTACTATCTATGCCAAAGGTACTTGGGGAGTCTGGGGGGAGGGATAGCTCACTGGTTTGAGCATTGGCCTGCTAAACCCAGGGTTGTGAGTTCAATCCTTGAGGGGGCCATTTAGGGATCTGGGGCAAAAATTTGGGATTGGTCCTGCTTTGAGCAGGGGGTTGGACTAGATAGTCTATGATTCTTTAGTTACTACATATGTGCTCCCATCCTGCCTCACTCAAACAGTAATTGCACAGAATCAGATCCCATCTTTGCCAACCTAATTTCAGTTCCTTGATGGCAACTGGATCACAGCTTAATTTTTCTCTCTGGAAAATGCAAGTTAATGAATACCTCCCTTTGATATTCTTGGCAGTTACATTCTGAGCTTGACCCCCTGTGTCAATTGAGTTTTACACAGCTGTAACTCAATTGAATCAGTCTCTATATGTGCAGTTGGCTTCTTTATTTACAACAGTGATGTCCATACTACATATTTTAAAATCAAATCCTACCTAGATTCAATAAGACTTCACCCTAGTTATCAGTCTGGTTAGACTTTTACATCTACGGCTCCCAAAAGACACACGTACCAAATGCTAATATTTTTGCTAACAATGGTGTTGACAGCAATGCTGGAATATCTTTAATTTTATGCCTTGTTTGTTACCTGAAATTATCTTGATGCTCACTGTCCCTTTACAATGGTTAATAGTTTGTACAGCACTTCCCCCTCAAGCTGTCTTCTGGGCCTGTATATATACAAAGTCTTGAAAGACTTAGCATGTATGTTGTATTAAGATTATTGTAATGTTCTGACCCAGTGTGTCATAAAACCTGTTATCTCCGCCTTAAACAAATTCTTTTGCTGATGCATGTTGGTAAAACTTTAGGCCTATTTTGTTTTCTTAATAGCTCATCTGTCTCTCTCCTTTCAGCATCTTTATTTAAAGCTGCAGTAAACATTTACCAAATGACAGCGTTGTTTCCCTGGCAGCGTTCCGTACATCCTCTGCTTCAGACTGACACAGGCTGGCAATCTGCTCAATGCTTTCTATGGCCTGTTTGGGATAAGAAAAAACTGCAGCATTATCTATTTAATCTTGATCATTTCTCTCAAACAGTTTTCCCACCCTAACACCAAGGTACTATCTGTTACATAAATACGCAGACATGCACCAGCTGTTCAACTTCCATCTTTTCTTGTATCTCAATTTTAATATGGTTGTTTTCCCTCCCCCCCCCCCCCCGACCCCCTCCTCATCCTCCCGAATTGGCTATAGATTGGTTTTCTTAGCATAGGCATAAGTTTGCCACCTTCTAGCCTAGACTCAAAGGATTAAAGTTTTGAAGATCTAGGATGTGATTTACCACTGCATTACTCCAGTATTGTACTTGCCGTTTCAATGGAGTTACACTGGCATAAAACTGAAGTAATGCAATGGTGAACCAGGCCCAAAGAGCACTGAGTCAGCCAAGTTATCACACAGTTGCAGACACAAAGGGCCCAAGACGGCTTTCTATCAGTCATTCCTAAAAAGTAAGAGTTAGTGGCTTGGTCTATCTTGTGACTTTTTTTTTTTTTAAAAATAAGGAAATGCAAAGAGTTGTGCTGACAGTAGCTGCTTATGTGCAAACTAACTGGTTATGAAAGTTATTTGAAGGATTTGACTCCCCTCTGTGCAGGAAAAGTTCTGCTAATTTGTGTTGAATTCTGCTGGTAACTTAAGACAGAAAGCGGACAGCTTTTTTTAAAAGACGAGAGCCTCGAGCATGCTGGGATTGTTGATGAGCAGTTACTCTCAAAGCAGGATTAGAAATGCTTTCAGCCAATCTTAAAGCAAGAGCACAAACTCTATTCTATGTTTGATTCCATTGTTAGTACCTTGCTAGAAGCTAAAGTCTCTCCAATCAGAACCTGTTTTCCAACCCAACTCTTCTCCCTATTAAGAGTGAAGTGGTAACTAAGAATGTTCATTGTGTCTACTCTCTATACTCTAGTTGTTGTCCCGGTTCGAATAGGATTTACATGACCATTACTCTCTCTGCTGGTTGCCTCAAGTAGCAGCAAAAACCATTCGGAGCTAAAGAAAACCTCAGTTTCCTCATGTATATGAGGTAATTTAAACAAAAATCTGAACAATGCCCACCAGAAAAAATTAAGATGAACCTTTGGCCATACAGCTGGACACAGCCCCACATGATAAAAGTCCAGTTACCCAGTCAAACACACTTACTCTGAGGTTTTTGAGAGCCAGACATGCAGCTTGCTGTATTTTTGCATCACACTCAGCTAAAATATCCGTGTAAAAAAGCAGAGCCTAGAAAATAAGATTGAGTGATTGGTTACCCTGCAAATAACTTCTCGAGTGTTCTGCATGCCAAGTGGAGTGAGATCCAGTGCTGCTTTACCTATTTGAAACTGATCAAACAACACACAAGAATAACTTCTGATGCTGAAAGGCAGCAGGCTCTGGGGTGGAACATGGCGGGTGTCAATAGTGCAGGATAGAACTGAACAGAGTGTTGATCCTTAACTCAACATCTGCTACCCCAGTAGGTGCAGGGTGAGAGCTTCCTAGAAGCAGGATGCAAAGTACAACTCCTTCCCCCCAAAATACTGCTGCTCTCAGGGAGATTGGATTCCTTGAATTATAGCATCTCACTCTGAAAACAGGTGAGAAACCATGAAGTGGCCCAATTCAGTTAATACCTTCTCCCTGAAATTCTTATTTGTTGCCGCCCGAGAGAGACAGGCCGTTGCTGCTTTGCCGACGTGGCGGTTGTCATCTAACTGCAGAATCCCAAGCAGCCGTAAAGTTTGGGGCAGAGGCTGGAGCTGGCTCAGTCGCTTTCCTTTTAGTTTCTTGATTTTCTTAAGTCGCCCAGGACACTGTAGCTCCTCAATGAGCATCACTACAAATGGAAGAATCAGTTCAGCTACAACTGTGTGCAGTGTCTATAGGGAGTTGGTTTTGAGAAGTCCCTTCCAATTTTGTCTCCTACCTCAGACATGTGCCCCTTATTAACATCACTACTGAGCAAGGCTGTCTCTTAGAAAATACTTTGTGAGGTACATGACTAGGTAAGAGGTGAGCTGCAAGTACTGCTAGTCTGCACCAAACATGCTTCTTTTACCATTCTCTTATCCTCCCTTCTTCCCCCAGTTTGTCCTTTTCATCTCCACATAAACCTAGCTTGTAAACTCCCTGAGGCTGGGGCTATGTTTTTACAATATGTATGCACAGTGCCTAGCAAAATAGGGCCCTGATTTTTGACTACGGTCCATAGGTGCTAAATTAATAAAAACCGATTCGGTGAATCTGAAACCTTTTGGAAGAATGACAATTTGACTATTACTAAAAAAGAGGGGAAACTGAAAAGTTAAAATAAGCATCTGTGAAAGATAAGGCTGCACTGGTTAGGAGGAGTGTAACTGTACTATAGAGAGAAAATAATATGCCTTGTTTTAAAAATAATGCAGCACACTGTCCTTTTGAAACCCTACACGCGATAGACAAACTTCCTACGCCTTTGCATTCACATACTGAGCAGGCATGAATGGCCCAGAGGAAATGAAATTACCCCAGTATCTGCCACAGTCAGATTTTCAAAGTACGGGGTGGACGGGGTTTCAGCAAGACAGTAGTGCTCTCAACAAATGCATATTAGTTACTCCTGGAATCTTAATGCCACTGATCTGTCTCTCATCACTGCCATTAAGACCATGCGATACCATAAACCATCTACTCAGCTGTGGAACACAGCAGCTTACTGTGCGGCCAGTTTGGTCTCTCCTTATATTGCAGACTTTGAGACCTAAGCCAGACGAGCTAAATATTTGCATCAAATCTGTTCCTTTCCTGTCTAGCTATGAGCCTGATTTAATTAGAGCAGGGAAGGCAAAAACTGCATGGGCATAGTGAGGAGAATTGTATTATGGTAGGGTTGTATCCTTACTTAAAAAAATTATCCCTTGGGGATTGGAACAGATACAGCCCAATAAGCCATTCCAGCAGCCAACTAGCTAGCCTGAGGGTTGTTTGTCTGAGTGCAGTACCTGGCAGCCTGCCATTACCTTCTTTGATGAGTTCTGCCAAGTGCTTCTCCAGGCTGGTAACATGCTCTTTCTCCAGGTAGCTGTGAAACTGGAATAAGGTAAGCAGTTCTTCAGGGGGGCTCCCAGAGGGGAGCAACCCGCTGCAGGTGACGATCTGCTCCAGCAGCCTTTGCAGCACTGAACAGACATGCAGAGAAGAGCAAACAAAGAAGGCCCGCTGAGGGGCAGGACACTTTGCACTCATGCATTTCATTTACAGTTTTAACAAGACGACGTTGAAGGCTGGAATTTTCAGAGGAACATAAGGAAGTAGGGGCCTAAATCTCACTGAAACTCAGTAGAAGGCAGGCCCCACCCTCTGCTGAAAATTCCAGCCAAAGTACAAAACAGACCTCATCCAACACCCACTGAAGTCAACGGGAGTTTTTGTATTGACTTAACAGACTTTGAATCAGGTCTGTAGTTGGTAACAAAAACAAGGCAGCCTGGTCTAAGAAGATTAATGCAGGGACTCAGGAACTAGCTGTGTGACCCTGAAAGAGCCACTAAACCTTTCTGGGCCTCAGTTTCCCCATCTGTAAAGCAGAGTATCATGATTTTAGTATATAAAACAAAGCAGTGCTCTGTGCACGTGTTTAGAAGCCCTTTGGAAAAACCATGGTTGTGTAAGGGCAATTCCTTTGTTTAGAAAGATCGTCCTGTGGGAATTCTTGGCCATATTGTGCATTCAGTGCTGGGTAAAATCTAAATGAAAGGGCTCATCCAAAATGTAAGTCCTAATGTCAGATGTTGTTTGTGTCCGTCTTTTAGTCAGTTTTTATCAATTTTGTTTTCTCTCTTCTACAATGGGGGCACTGTGCGTGTGAGCACACCCCTCTGCAGCAGAGTCTGTACTGAGCTTTACTTTCAGCGTTCACACATCACCACAAGGCCATTGAGTGACATACAGAATACTTAAATGATAAACTCTTCAGGATATGGATGATGGCCCAGATTCTGGGAGTTAGGCACCTAAATACCTTTGAAGATCTGGGCCTATGTCTGCCTCATGTTTGTACAGCACCTAGCGAAACAGGGCTCTCATCCCAACAGGGGTCTCTGGACACCACTGCCAATACAAGAAATAACAGTAACTCCATGTTGACTTTCTGAGATGTGTGTAACACAGAAGATAGAACACAGCACAACATTCATAATTATCTTAGCGATTAAATACCTGCAATTTTTGATTGTAACTTCTTTGGTATATCAAATAGAAGGGAGGGATTTTCAAGAGTGCCCAAGCGAGTCAGGTTTCTAACTCCCATTGACTCCTAACCCCCTCATGTGATTTGGTAAATCCCACCCAAAATTATTACAAAACATTAATCTAACAGTCCATAATGTCATGGGAGAGAAGTAATGACTCATCAAGCTGCGTGTGCAGAGTGCTATGGTCATTTTATAGTATAAGTAATAAATCAAGGGGATAGAGTCTGAATTTTAAATATAGTTTACCAAGAACAAGTTCTATGTCATTTTAAAAAACCTATAGGAACAACCTTAAACTCAGTGTACAAATAAAATTAGGTGCCTTAAATTCTGCTAATTGACTGGTACCTGCTTCTAGGTGTCCTGGATATTTCTCCTTCACTTTGAACATTAATACGTATTTCAGTGGATTCTGGAATTTTTCCGATGAACAGAACAAGATATTTCCTGGCTCTGTGAATTCACTCCAGATTTTCAAACACTCCTTGTGCTTCTTCGCCTTGTGAATAACTGTAGAATAAAGTTTTACAAAGTCAGCAAGTGAGCTGGAGTGCATTTTAAATGAGACATGAGACACCAGTTGGGATGGCTAACAAATATATGAACGTCATTTTTTTTTTACATTCCATAGATGGATTTCTTTACAACTTAATTTTATTGCCAATTTATTAAAGACTCACTGAGGACCTGATCCAAAGCCCACTAAAGTCAATGGGAGTCTTTCCATAAACTTCAGTGAGCTTTGGATTAGGCTCTACACTCATACCAGCGTGTAAGTGAGAGGTCTATCATGCTCCTAGCTCATGCCTTTGCAGGGACATGGACTGTGCTCTACTAGGGATTCCCCTTCTCTAGCACCCTAAATTATCTCATTGGACCATGATCAACCTATTAGGATTGCAGACAGCCTACGACAGCATTTTGCAAGATAAAAGGGTTGTGTGTTAGGTGGTAGGATGAGCAAAGACCTACAATCATAAAATCACCTCCATGTTCTAGAGGGCAAGTAAAAAAGCCCCTGCTCCTCTTCCCTAGGGGCTAATTCCTTCTCAAATCCAAATGTGGGGCCTAATCCAACAGTCCTTGCTTAGGCAAAATTCCCCTAAATTTCAAGGGAGTTTTTCTGAGTAAGTCCTGTGGGGGCTGGTCAACAGTTTAATTTGGATCACCACAATAAAAACCTGCATCGTTCAGTATCTAATAATCTCATTTGTGTTGCTATTTCACTCACTCCCTTTTGCTAGGGAGGGATAATGTTGATGTCCAAGGGCCAGATTTTTAAAGGCATTTAGGCACCTAAAAATACAAATATGCACCTAGTTTTGAAAATCCTACTGGATGCCTATCTGCATGTTTAGGTGCCTAAACTGGCCTCAAATAATTACCCATTTTCCTTGAAACCAAAGATTTAGGATTTTCAAAAGTGCTCACTGTTGGCTTAACTCTGATCCCCCTGGACTCAGTGGGAGTTTTATCATCCATTTTAAAGGGAGTTGAGTGAAGCCAGTGTTGAGCACTTTTGAAAATCCTTCAAATGCAAAATTCAAAACACTTATGACCCCCTTCGTATGGGGTGGGGGAAGCCCCTTTACATGAAATATGCAAGCTCTATGATTTACTTGGTACATACAGGGTCAAGTTAATCATTGCCTGGGGCAGCAATTCTAAAAACCCTTTCCTTTCTAACCAAGAAAGAGCTGAGTCCCAGCTGTTAGGGTTTATAACCTACCCATAAAAGCTGATTTGACTCAGAATTTATTTAAAAGCCTTCAGAATCAATCCCTGATTTGTCATACGAGGTGAGAGCCATGTTACCTGGGCCTCTCTGGTCTCCTACATATGCCTTGGCATCACACACACATTACTCACCCTCTTCAACAGAGGTGAAGCTCAGAGCTTCCAGAACACAGAGCTTTGAAACAGTTTCCAGCACTTGTTTCTGCCGTGACACTTCTTCCAGAAGGCTCTCCTGGACAATTCGGGCTATGTTTGGCGAAACCAGTTTCTGAAACAAAGTGTACTTTTTCTCAGTGGCTGAGATTAAAGCATTGAGCAAACTGAAGAAGTGCTGAACCCCCTGACTTTCAGCGCTCAACTCTCCAACAGCCAGTCGGGAAGACAACTGCCTCCCACAGAAATCCACTTTTCACATTGTGTCTTGGATGAGACGGAAATAGGAGACAGACTTGTTGAAAGTCTGTGGATAAGGATAAAAGGGGTAAAAAACAAGAGTGATGTCATAGTAAGGTCTACTACAGACCATCTAACCAGGAAGAAGAGGTGCATGAGGCTTTTTTTAAACAACTAACAAAATCATCCAAAGCACAGGATTCAGTGGTGATGCGGGACTTCAACTATCCAGACATCTGTTGGGAAAATAACACAGCAGGGCACAGATTATCCAACAAGTTCTTAGAATGTACTGGAGACAATTATTTCAGAAGGTGGAGAAAGCTACTAGGGGAGAGGCTGTTCTAGATTTGATTTTGACAAATAGGGAGGAACTGGTTGAGAATTTGAAAGTGGAAGGCAGCATAGGTGAAAATGATCATGAAATGGTAGAGTTCATGATTCTAAGGAATGATAAGAGGGGAAACAGCACAATAAAGGTTATGGATTTCAAGAAGGCAGACTTTAGCAAACTCAGGGAGTTGGTAGGTAAGATTCCCATGAGAAGCAAGTCCAAGCAGAAAAAAACAGTTCAAGAGAGTTGTCAGTTTTTCAAAGAGACATTATTAAGGGCACAAGAGCAAACTATCCCACTGCGTAGGAAAGATAGGAAGTATGGCAAGAGACCACTCTGGCATAACCAGCAGACCTATAATAATCTGAAACTCAAAAAAAAAAAAAAAAAAAGTCCTACCAAAAGTGGAAACTAGGTCAAATTAAAAAGGATGAATATAAACAAATAACACAAATATGTAGACACAAAATTAGAAAGGCCAAGGCACAAAACGAGATTAAACTAGCTAGAGACATAGAGGGTAACATCCTACAAATACATTAGAAGCAAGAGGAAGACCAAGGACAGAGTAGGCCCATTACTCAAAGGCGGGAGAGGGGAACAATAAACAGAAAATGTAGAAATGGCAGAAGTGCTAAATGATCTGTTTGTTTCAGTTTTCATCAAAAAGGTTAGTAGCAATTGGACGTCTAACATAGTGAATGCGGAGGTAGCATCAGAGGCTAAAATAGGGAAAAAACAAGCTAAAAATTACCTAAAGTTAGATGTCTTCAAGCTACCAGGGCCTGATGAAATCCATCCTAGAATACTCAAGGAGCTGACTGAGGAGATATCTGAGCCATTAGTGATTATCTTCAAAAAGTCATCGAAGATGGGAAAGTTTCCAGAGGACTGGAAAAAGGCAAATATAGAGCCAATCTATAAAAAGGGAAATCAGGACAACCCAGGGATTTACAGACCACTTAGCTTTACTTCAGTTCCTGGAAAGATAATGGAGCAAATAATCAGTGAACACCTAGAAGACAGTAAGGTGATAAGTAACAGTCAGCATGGATTTGTCAAGAAGAAGTTGTGTCAAACCAACCTAATAGCTTTCTTTGACAGGATAACAAGCCTTGTGGATAGAGGAAAAGCAGTAGATGTGGTATATCTTGACTTTAGTAAGGTTTTTGATACTGTCTCTCATGACTTCCTCATAAACAAACTAGGGAAATACAAGCTAGATGGAGCTACTATAAGATGGATGCATAGCTGGTTGGAAAACTGTTCCCAGCGAGTAGTTATCAGTAGATCACAGTCAAGCTGGAAGCACATATTAAGTGGGGTCCCGCAGGAATCAGTGCTGGGTCCAGTTCTGTTCAATATCTTCATCAATGATTTAGAGAATAGCTTAGAAAGTACACTTATAAAGTCTGCGGATGATACCAAGCTGGGAGGGGTTGTAAGTCCTTTGGAGGATAGGATTAAAATTCAAAATGATCCGGACCAACTGGAGAACTGGTCGGAAGTAAATAGGATGAAATTCAATAAGGACAAATGCAAAGCACTCCACTTAGGAAGACACAATCAGTTGCACACATACAAAATGGGAAATGGCTGCCTAGGAAGGAGTACTGTGGAAAGGGATTTGCAGGGTCATAGAGGATCACAAACTAAATGAGAGTCAACAGTGTAACACTGTTGGAAAAACAAACAAACCACCCATCATTCTGGGATGTATTAGCAGGAGTGTTGTAAGCAAGACACAAGCAGCAATTCTACTCCATGCTGATTAGGCCTCAGCTGGAGTATTGTGTCCAGTTCTGGGCACCGCATTTCAGGAAAGATGTGGACAAATTGGAGAAAGTCCAAAGAAGAACAACACAAATGATTAAAGGTCTCGAAAACATGACCTAAGAGGGAAGATTGAAAAAATTGTGTTTGTTTAGTCTGGAAAAGAGAAGACTGAGAGGGGACATGATAACAGTTTTCAAGTATGTAAAAGATTGTTATAAGGAAGAGGGAGAAAAATTGTTCTCCTTAACCTCTGCAGATAGGACAAGAAGCAATGGGCTTAAAGTGCAGCAAGGATGGGTTAGGTTTAGAGTGACCATGCATCCTGTTTTGGCCAGGACAGTCCCTTTCTTAAGCCTTGTCCTGGCCGTCCCGACTTCTTTTGGCAAAACTGGGCATTTGTCCAGTTTGCTCTTGCCAACTGATCATTATTTGTCAAGAGCAAACTGGACAAATGCCCAGTTTTGCCAAAAAAAAAAAAAAAAAAAAAAAAAAAGTGGGTTGCGACCCCTAGCGGGGCACAGAGGAACATGCTCGGGGGCAAGCATGCAGGAGGGAGGGCTCAGGACAGTGTCTTGGGCCAGGCCAGTCCCACGTGGGTGGGTGGCAGGGGGGCTTGGGCTGCCCCATGCATGAGGGGAGAGGAGGGCCTCGGGCCAGCCCCATGGGGTGTCCCATTTTTCCTTTGGGGAAATATGGTCACCCTAGTTAGGTTGGACATTAGGAAAAACTTCCTAACTGTCAGGATGGTTAAGCAGTGGAATAAATTGCCTAGGGAGGTTGTGGAATCTCCATCATTGGAGATTTTTAAGAGCAGGGGATGGTCTCGATAATACTTAGTCCTGCCCTGAGTGCAAGGGACTGGACTAGATGACCTCTTGAGGGTCCCTTCCGGTCCTATGATTCTATGATTAGATTTTGCATCTCTCTCTGAACTGGAAAGTCTTCTCTTCCCATCTGAAATGGTTATAACATTGCTGTACATGGTTCAATAGCAGCCCAAGGTTGATGTATTGTACTGATGTGTGGAGTAATCCTTGTAGAAAGCCTTTTGTGCTTCAGGGCCTGATCCTAGCTGATGCTGAACACCCACTACTCCTAGTGAAACGAATAGGGATTGTGGCTGTTCAGCACCTATGACTCCCAGAGGTGTTCAAGAGCAGAGGTTCCGAGCCTTTTTCTTTCTGAGCCCCCCCCCAACATGCTATAAAGACTCCAGAGCCCACCTGTGCCACAACAACTGGTTTTCTGCATATAAAAGCCAGAGTCAGTGTTAGGGGGTACCAAGCAGGGCAACTGCCTGGGACCCCACACCACAGGGGCCCCCACTAAGATACCTTGCTCAGTCTTCAGCTTCAGCCCCGGGTGGGGCTTCGGATTTCTGGGCTCCAGCGAGTCTAATACTGGCCCTGCTTGGAGGCCCGCCTGAAACCTGCTCGAGGCTCCCTAGGGGGCCCTGGGACTCTGTTTGAGAACCGCTGTTCTAGAGAAATCATCATTACTTACCCTGGATACTGGCTATTTTATTCCAGTGATACCAAATTTTCTCTCTGAAAAATTGGTCTTTTGCCAATCAATATGCAGTTCAATCCAAACCCGTCCTACTTCATTCATAGCCAGCTCACCATGCATAAGTCTTCTGAGTGCAGAGCTATTAATTCCTACTCCAGCAAAAAAGGTCCAGTTTTGCAGAAGCTGTTTATGCCCACCTGATTTTCCCTTTACATAGGTCTGTGCATTGTAGTTTGAAAATCTGGCTCAAGTGATCTGCAGTTCCATTCTTAGTCATTCTACTTTATAACATAACCTCATAAATCGCCAGTTCTGTCTTTGCTTGGTGGTTATAAACGATGACCCAGATCCTCAGCTATGGCCATGGAGTCCACAGTGCAACTCAGGAATGGCGGAAAAGATGGGTGTTGCACTCCCTGATGCTGCACCAACTGAGTGAAGGGCTGGTTTCCAGCATAAATCAGGGTAGTCTGAAGCCTGCCTTATGCTTGCCTTAAACTAGCCTGAAGGCTGCCCTTGGATGTGAGAGGCAAATAGAGCAGCAAGTGCTGGGGCAGAAGTATGTCCCAGCCATGCCAGCTTTCACTCCAACCATGTCCCCTTCACCAACAGCCAGAGAAGAAGGGTCTGGCATAGAAACCGTTACTCCCACACTATGCGACCAGAGAAGTCTGTGCTAGGGGGATTCTCATAGGGCTGGCTATGCCAGCTTTGTGCCTGTTGCACAGTGCAAAGTGCCTGCACTGCATCCCGGGATCTGGGCCAGTATCAATCCACTGCAAATGGGTTCATCCATACGCCATTCCTTACCTGCAAGAGAGCTTTGCACAACTGCAGATGAACTATCAGAAGTTTGTCTAAATCATCATTCCCTGTGGTTAATTCTTTCGTTTCTGTTTTCCTGTCATAGCCCAGTATATTGTCATTGTAAGTGCTGTTAGAGAAGTTAAGAAAGGGGAACAAGTAGTTAATGTTAACCAGCCATTGTGTGCAGTGAAGCAGAAGGATCTAAAACACCAAGAAAAAATTAAAAGTTGTTTAAAACCCACAAGGCACCTCTAGCCATTAACTCCTATATCTTCAACAAATGAATGTGAAAGTTTCTCTTCCTGTCTTCTCAATAATAATCCCCAAACTCACCAAAGTGGTCACCACTTTTGACAAATAACTGATGCTCTATAGAAGCAGTAAGCCTGTTAACAATCTTGGTTGTGTGTAAACTTCCTACAAAGGTGAAGATGGGGATTTAAATCTCTAATTCTCATGTCAGGAAGGCAACAGTATGTCAGCTAATCCTGTGACCTCGTTTTTGTGAGGACCACCATCCAAACAAGACACTGCCATCGATAATGTGTGTTGACTGGCTGGCCTATTTGGAATGACGTATTGCAAAAGCAAAATAAAAACACCTTGTTCTATAACAACTCCAACACAAGGATGCTTTACAGTCTGGTCTATCTGGGGCTACTCAGCACCTCGCAGGATCAGGCCCACAACCCCGAAGGGTAAGTTTGAGTGTTATGAGCAAGGGTCACAAATATGAAACAGAACCCAGTAGAAGAGACCTGTGAGCTGCTCCTGGCCTGTTCCCTTGCAAAACTGTTCCTCATCATACCCATACATCTGTTTGCTGAAGTTTTAAATATCCCAACTATCCCATTCTTCAGCCTAGTAGGAGGAAGGGTTTTCCAGATATTCAGCCTAAACATTCCTGAATTTCAACCCATTTATTGCTCTGACTGAGTTGTAAGTTTCTTAGTATCCTAAACAATTCCTCTCTCTCCTGGGTGTCCACACCCTGGGCACTAACCTCCCCCCACTACAAAGTCATTGCCTAACTGAGTTCAGTGTATTTAACTCCTAATCTTCCTCTTGTCAATCCCTCCAGCCCCTCAATGGGATGCATTGGTCTGCTCACCTGGTACTGTCTGTCCTTATGCTTCCAAATAAGGAAAGCTCATCAGCACTGCAGTCCGTGTTTAAAAAGTCAAAACTTTCCAGCACCATCTCCACCATCAGACTCTCCATGGATAAATGTTTCTGATGAGATGTCTTCAGCTGTTGATAGATAGGAAATAAACTATTGTTCTTTGCAAGGATCCTGGTGTCCCCCCCAGCAGTTCACCCATACGGATTTACAAATCACCATCTATTCAACCACGGGACAGTTTGCTCCCATCAGCTCATCCACAACACACCAGAAGAGCTGGTCCTTTCACACATACAAAGCACTTCAGCCACATCGCCCCCACCCAGAAACAACTTTGCCAATTCATTTCAGGAACTAGTTCAAAAGGTTTATCCAGTTTTAAAATTCTCCTTGGGTTTCCTACAACCTCACCAGTGTGAGTGTAAGACCCTCCTTCTCTGCAGCTCCTGCCATTTGGTACAACTTTCCTGTCTTTCTCCTTCTTAAGATCTAGAGCTATCAGTTTTATACTGCCACCCATCACTATAGTATCTGAGCACCTTCAATAGCGTGCTCCTACCCCTTCATGGGGTGTCTGGCATTTCTCCCCTTTCTCTGCTTGGGGTAGAAGTTTTGGGAAAGGGGTTGGGTTGGTTTGGGGGGTGTTTATGTTTTTTTAATTTTCTTTTAATTTTTCTGAGGGCTAAGGATTTAGGAGTAGAAAGCAGTATCAGTGACATTCTTATCTCAGATCTAGCTGAAATCCTACAGTGTCTTCTCTCTCTTGCCTACACACAGGGCCTCATGTATTCCACAGCTGTGGGACTACAAGTGCAATCCACCCTTTGCCACAAAGTTGTGCTCCAGAATCTTTCACGTAGGGGGAAAAATGTTTCTAGTCTTATATGGTTGTGAAGATATCCTTAAACACATGGGTGGCGGGTATAATAGCTGTGGGATGCCATTTGTGGGGTTTTACTTATTATTATGTGGCATGCAGGTTCCAGGGCAGCTGAGGCTGTATCTGCTATTCAGCTTCCGGGTTCCTCAGTAATCTCCCTGGACTCCAGAGATGGACAGCTGTGGGAGGCACACAGCCTTTACCATTCTCTGGCCAGTGACGGGCTGCTCAGGCTGGCCCAGGGCTCAGGTTGGTCGGCCAGCACAGCCCAGGCGAGCCGCGGGAGGTGGGAACGAAGGGGGGCCCTCAGGGCTCTGCCAAGGGGAGACAGAAAGGGGCCTTGTGCAGAAGGAGTAGGGCCAGGGGCTAGCCTCGCCTGAGGGAGTGTCCACCAGCAGCCCATGCTTAAACAGAAACTGAGTTTTAATCTGAATAACTGTCATCTTTCTGAGGGTGCAGAAGCCCTTAAACATTAGCTCTTATGGACTGACCCATTCATCAAGGGGGTGTTCACTCTGAAACTTATAGATGACAACATACATGCCAACATTGTCAACAATTTCACTGCTGATCATTTTAGCAGGAAAAAAACCCATGAAATGTGCTTCCTCTAATCCCAGACTGTATCATCAGATGTAGAATTTAATATAAAAATAAAACACAGTGGCTAATATCCTGATTGCCTTATTCATCTTCTTGGGGTTTTTTTCCCCATTAAAACCTCCATCTAAATGAAATGACTGTGGAATCCCACACCAGTGTCCCACAATGCAGGGACCTTACTACAGAATTTAGGTCCAGTTTGGCTCAGAGAACACAGGGCCTTGATTATACTCTGCTTTCTAATTTCTCCTTCCCTCTGTTATTCAGCTCTGCAAAGCATGTTGGGATAAAGTGCATGAGAGATGTTATACAGACTGAAATGTTGTTGCACTTAGCTAGCACTCTTGACTTCCAGCCATTTCTGAGAAATGCCTGAGCTCTGGTGGTCAAACCAACATTTTGGAAATGTGCCACTGAAAATTTTGAAGCCATCGATACTTCATCATGTGGTTTTGAGCCCTTTAGAATAGTAAGAGGAAAAATGATGAACAGCAAAAACTACAGCTTATTGCACAAAGGTGAAAATAACACCACACCTTTAATTTGTCCCTGATGCATAAAACTTGGTACTCCAATTCCTCCAATTGGGTTTGCCCTGGATTCTGTGATTTCAGCAAATTAAACACTTCTTGAAGGAGTTTCTCAACTACTTTGGCACTTCCAGCTGGTTTTATGTCATCTTCAGTGTTCAAGCTTTTCCGACCAACAGACAGGACATTTTCTTGTTCCACTGGCTGGTGACTCCAGTGCTGGCTGATGGAATCTCTGCCATCTTTGCTAATGTCCCTTGGGTTGGATGGGCTATTTGGAGCTCCATCCACGGTGGGTGTCTCTTTCAGGATATCTAGAGTTGTGTGGTTTGGAGACTTGTGTTGTCTTCCTTCTGCACAGGTGTCCTGTACAAGAACCAATGGCAGGGTCCTGTGGTCTGAAGCTGGAGTCACATTTCTGGTTTCTGTTCCTTTCTGATCCTGGAAGCTGAATGAATCAGTCTCTGCAGAGCTGTGGTTGTCATTCCTTACATGCACATCAAAGTCACAGTCAGCCAAGTAGCTCATTATGGAGGGGGCTCGCGCCCCATCATTTATGCCACCTTGGTTAACTCGTTGCTGCGAAACAGACTGCAACAAACAGGGTCAAGTGTAAGTACAGCTACTTGATAAATACAAGATTTACCCAGAGATGGAGAGTCTCAGCCTTGCCCTTCTGCAGAGATTTGGGGTGACAGACAGCTATAATGGCCAGAGAAACCTCTGAGCCCCATGCAGACCAGAGCAGGAGGACCTGTCAGGGCAAGCCATGCATGGGTCCAATATTTACATTGATCTCGCCTCAGGGAAGAGCTGAAGACAGGCAGAGATGACTCCACATTTAAAGAACTTTAAACTGAATGTTAAAAAAAATAGTGTAAGAGGCCACTGCCTGTCACATTTTTCATTCCAAAGGGGCCCTAACAAATCAGTTCTGACCCTCCTTCAGCCCAGTACAATATGATATTAAATTGGCTGGAAAACGTTTTCATGATTAGTTATTAATAAATACAGCACACACATTAAATAACTACATAGCCCCATAATGCCACTGTTTGCAGAAGACTTATCTACAAGCAATGCTTTGTACTCCCTCTGCTGGCTTGGCAGGAGCACACAAACCTGACTGTCAGGCTGACATGGGAACCTGTGTTGAGATTAGGGGAGTGTACGCACACCATGCCTTTGCTACATATTGCCTGTGCTAATAAGAGGCAGGAGCATACGGAACAAAGCAGCAACACTAAGTGTAAATTCTGTTCGAAACACAGGAGATTCTCTGGTCCAACTGAACTGCACTTGGCACTAGACTGGGGAGCGGGGGGAGAGAAAGGGATGTTTTATACTCCACCTTTAAACCACCACTGGTTCACTGCTCCTGGGATTGGCCAGTTCCCAGTGTAGACTGCTCTAATTTATGCCTGGCTGCACATGGGGAATATTTGGCAGGAAAAAAAATGTTTGCATTTCAAGATTCTAAAATAGGATTGAAAACAACAGGAGTTAAATTAAAAAAATAAAACACCCCATAATGATCTCCATACTGCCCTGTGTCTGTGGTCTGTCCAATTCTCTTCTGCAACAATCTGATGCACCACACACAGCCCCAGTTCACTGTTTGTGCACAGTGTTTTACTTCCCCCATCATACTTACGAGATAATATTTCTCCCTGAAGCTTGGAGTGTTTGGCGGAGTCCAGTTGTATAAGGAGCTTTTCCTACTACCCAGAGAAAACTTGGCAGTAGTTCCAGGGGACAGAAACAGGTTCTCTGTGTCAAATGGGCTATGAGCAGGGAATACAAAAGGGTAAGTGTTATCAAAGGCCAGGAAGCATTTAGGTGTTTAGCAACAGGAACAGCCACTGGGATTTGAGCCTCGTAGCATCATTCGGGTCCCTGAAGTTTATTAAATAATACTCAGCTCTAGGATAAAAGAAGAGGGAGGCAAGCGGCCCCTCTGACTTATTTCCTTGACACCTGAGCTGCAAGAGGGAGATAGTGGGGCATCATCCTTTTGCATAGAGAGAAGTACTGACTAACCTCATCCTTCAGGCATGGCTATCACAGCAGAGCCTAATCAATGCAGAGCAATCTGAGCTGGCTTCTCTCCCAGAATCAGATCAGAGTCTGATGAGAGCTCCCTCTCTTTCTGTGGGGTCTTATATCCCACACAGTAGTTCCCCATCTGTGGCCCATGAATGGCAGGGTGCTTGCAGGTGGCCAGCAGAATGGTATATTGACCTCATGGTGCTCCAGAAATGGGCAGGGGATATTAAATGAAGCATAAAAGGAGTGTGTAACTAACTTTTTCCACAAAGGACAAAACACTGTGACTTGAAAAGCCAGTAAAAAGGTATTAAATACAGTGTTGATCCTACATACACTTAGACACAATGGTTGTAGTTGCCACAGGGATGTTATGTCATTGTGCATGGCAGGAGATGCAGTTCATGCAATTGTGTCAGGGAAGGGAGCTTCCACACACCTATCCCTATAAGATGCTGTCTGTGCTGTAAAGAGCCCAACAACCCTTATTCTAAGCACTTGCCGATTGTCCTCAACTCTCCAGAGAAGATCACTACTCTTCCCCTTTCCAGCAGATGCATGTGCTGGGAACTCTTTCCTCAGAGAAGCACCCTAAGCCAAAGCTGTGTGAACCTTCACCCACAATGCATTCCAACGCAGAGGAAGAGAGGAAAATTCAAGGACTCCCCCCTTCTTGATAGAGCTAGGGCACTTTTAATTAAATTTGTTCCCCTCTCAGGTGTACTTTTGTGCACAAGGGGAATGTATCATTCATATTATCTCTGATCCCACAGGCAATATTTTAAATGAAGGCCAACCACGAAGCTAAGGTGTCTGCCCTCAACTGGAGCCCCTGGGAGTTCTGAAACGATCCAAACAATAGTGGGCACAAATTAGTTCCATGGAGACTTTTGCCCTCAATTCAAAGCCAAGTTCTACTTCCCTTTTATTGCAAGGGCCGAAGGCTGAATATAAACATTTCAGGCACAGACAGCAGTGTCCCTCATTGGAACATGCTGTTGTCATCCCACCATGGAAGTATCACTATCACAGTGTCAGCCTAATGCATGTCAATTAGCTAAATTAACCAGTGTCACACAGCTGGAGTTTGTCAAACAGGCCAGTTCTATGGAGCCAGATTAGCAGCCATCTGTACTTTCTCATTTTGCAGCAAATTAACTAAATCGGGTATCTGACAGCAAGAGCACTTTATCCAGAGAACGTCATGGACTTACTGACAGAGGCAAATTGCTTTCATCTATGGCATTTTGTTCTTAGAAGGAGGAGGGCTGGGGCTGGGGAATCCTTTTATTTAAGACTTTCAGTTTTAGTTTTTAATACAGCAACAAAGCAGTAAAAATAAAGAATACAGAGTAAAGATATAATGATATCAACCTAAGGCTATTCTCCTCCTGTGAGGAGATTGATATAATCCTATAGTAAAGAAAAAAAGATTAAGGGTATGTTTACACTGCACATCAAGACCAGGCTCTGACTCAGATTTGAGCCCAGCTCCCCTTCGTCTACACGCAAATCAGTCTGACTCAGGTTAGCAAGGATTTGGGTCCTAGGATCCTGCTAGGGGGTTATGTCAGAGCCCTAATCCTGCTGTGACTTGGGTCCAAGCCCTGTCATATTGCAGTATGGACACAGCTCAAGCTACAGATCTAAGTCAGAGGGTCTGCTTAGCGCAGTACGGACACATTAGCATGGCTGAGAGACCCAGGTCCTGTAAGTGTAAACCCAGCTTTACAATGCACTGTGGATTCTCAAGCACAGACTTGGAAACACCGAGTCCATAAGGCTGGGTCATACAGGCCCAGGTTTAATGTGCAGTGTAGACATTTGCCCTTATGGAGTACATCTCAGGGTATCAGCCAGAAAACACTGTGAAGTACAGGGGTGAACTGATGACATGGCTCATGTGAGTGAGAGGGAGAGAGAGTGACCATGATACTGAATGGGAGAGAATGGGAGCTGCTCAACTATGAGCCAGACAAGGGGCAGGCAAACTTTTTGACCTGAGGTCCACATTGGGTTTCCAAAATTGTATGAAGGGCTGGTTAGGGGAGGCTGTGTCTCCCCAAACAGCCAGGCGTGGCGTGGCGTGGCGTGGCGTGGCCTGGCCCCCACCTCCTATCTGACTCCCCCCCGCTTCTCACCCCAACAGCCCCCCCCGGGACTCCTGCCCCATCCACCACCCCCTGCTCCACCACCCATGAGTGCCCCCTGCTTCCTCATCTAACCCCCGTCTCATTCCTGACTTGTCCCCCCCCCGGGACCCCTGCCCCATCCAACCACCCCTTCTCCCTGTTCCCTGACTGCCCCCAGAACCCCTGCCTGCTCCCCAACACCCCATCCAACCCCCCACTTCCTGGCTGACCCCTGCCCCCATTCAATCCCCCTGTTCCCCACCCTTTGACTGCACCAACCCCTATCCACACCCCTGCCCCCTGACCACCTCCCCACAGCCCCGCTATCCAACCCCCTTCCTCCCCCTGATCGCACTGCCTGGAGCACCAGTGGCTGGCGGCACGACAGCCGTGCTGCCCAGAGCACCGGGTCAGGCTGCGGCTCTGCAGCTGCGCTGCCCGGCCCCCCAGAGTATTGCGCTTGTGGCGCGGTGTGCTGACGCTGTGGGGGAGGGAAAACAGCAGGGGAGGGGCCGGGGACTAGCCTCCTGGGCCAGGAGCCGGGCAGAAGGGTCCCGTGGGCCGGATGTGGCCTGCGGGCCGTAGTTTGCCTACCTCTGGGCCAGACCCTATATTGCAAACAAGGCAGATTTTTTCCTTATCTCAAGTGGTAGGAGCCTGAGCTTTTAGAGCAGCAGGATCTGAGTTTTAGCCCTACCGTTCCCATGTAGTACTGAAGCGCACAGAAACAGCCACAGCCCTAAACCGTACCCCTACCATTTGCAGGGGGAAGCAGTGCTACATTTACATCTACTTGCCAAGGTCCAGAGCTGTCTGGGTGGCTTGGATCCTTGGTTCAGTCCGATTCGCTCTTTCCCAACCACATTTGCCATTAGGAATGTCCCAAAAGGCAGGTATTGTCAAACCAAAGCTTTTTGTCAGGGTTGTATTCCTCCTCCTCCCCGCCCCCTTCACTCCATTCAAACAATGAGGCAGCCTTGGCGGGGTTCACGCCAACAAACTTGCAGCCATTATGGGAATCATCATGGGCCAGACGGTGCCATGACACCCCAGTGAGGGGTGCAGCCTTGAGGGAGAATGTTCCCTTTGTTTCAGAGGAACAGCCGTGTTAGTCTGTATTCGCAAAAGGAAAGGAGTACTTGTGGCACCTTAGAGACTAACCAATTTATTTGAGCATGAGCTTTCGTGAGCTACAGCTCACTTCATCAGGTGATTCTTTGTGATTCTCGTTGCTGTTTGGGTTGGCCTGGTGACCAGGTCCCCTTCCCAAGCCAGCAGAGCATCTGCGTTCTCTCCCCCACAAACTTCCGATCCTCCTCCCCTAAACAAAGCTCTTAAGGTACATCTCTCTCACAGCTGGAGGTGTGAGCACAGCGCAGGTAGGCATACCTGCACTAACTTTAATCTAGTTAGTGCAGGCATGCCTAGCCCAGCTAAAAGTAGCAGTGAAGAGGAGGTGCTGTAAATCCTAGCCGGGGCTAGCAATGCCAGTTCAGAGTTGAGGCCCTAGTTCTGGTTGGGCTAGTACAGCCCACCATGAAGCCCTCAATGATGCAGCTTGACTGTCATGTTTAGCCATGCTAACTTGATTAACACTAGCACAGGTCTGACTACCTCTGACTGCAGTGTCGAAATACCCCAACCAACTGGGGTCTGCAAAGGAGGCAGGAGGAGGTTTATCAGAGCTATCTCAGCTAAAAGAGCATGCACAGTTCAACACCAAAAAAAGCAAGGTGTCATTAGAGCTCTCACTCCACCGCTCCTAGGGTGGAAGCTGGCCCAGGAGGGATGTTTGGGTGTCACCATTAGACTTGATTAGTCAGTCATCATTTTAGGGGGGAAAGCTGCTGTTGCTCTGAAAAGAGCTGTTATTTTGAGTGGTTTTATTTTTTAAAATGGAAACACCCTTATCTTATCACTGTGCAAATATTCCTCTGTATAAAAACAGCTTCAGCAGATAAGCTGTCAAGAATAGGAGCTGGCCCATTCCACACGCAAGTGCCCTAGAGAAGCTGCTTGGTGGGATACCAAGGTATTGCACAAACCTTACACAGAGAAATATGGCAGAAATTATCTGGTAAGCATCACGATTCCTTCTGGGGGTGTGGATTAGCTCACAGGGGATGTATGTCACCATTAACATTGTTCCCAGCTGGGCAGTCGCCACGTTGAAAACCTCGTTGCTTGGAGGCAAAAAAGTGTTACAGCTGGACCAATAGTGCCAAATATTGCCATCAGTGGTGCAAGTACGCTGTACCAGTCAGATATTTATAGCTGGTACAGCGTACGGGAAAGACACAGGAAGAGCCTGCCCCAGCCCTGCCTTTCCACGCAGCTGCACCTCCTGAGTCCTCCTGCCTGGGGTCTGTAGAGCAGCCCTGCCAGAGGACAGGGCTGGGGCAGTACAGCAGCCGCGTGGGAGGAGCTACTGGCATGGGGCTGCCCAGCGACCACACGTTCTTCTGCTCCTTTTGCTGCTGTGGTTCCAGAGAGCCCTGATCTCTCAGGAACCGAGTGGCAAAAGGAGGAGAACGTGGGGCAATTAGATGGCCCCATGCCACCAGCTCCTCTGGCACGGCTGTACCGCCCCCCAGCCAGGAGATGCAGCTGCATCTCCCGAGTCCTTCTGGCTGGGGTCTATACAGCAGAAGTCTCCAGTGCAGCAGGGGGAGGACAGAGCTTCCCCCCCAGGTAACGTGGGATGGATGTGGATCATGGGAAGGGGATGGGGAAAAGTCACATAAAGAGGTCACGTGCCTTGCCTTTGTGTCCATCCCATGAGTGCAGTATACCAGCAAGAAACGATTTCTACTTGCACCACTGATTTCCTGGTAATTATTTGAGTTTTTAAAATCAAGTCACTTCACTTACGTTCATGGCTCCTGTATGTTGGTTTATGCCACACTCTGCATTCACTACAATAGCTGCCGAAAGCGTTAGTAGAAAACAGCAAGTTTCCCCATTGTGAAATATTTGCAGAAAGTGAATTTTTAATTCATAAAACACAAACCCTGCCAGCTTCCATTCTGAATTACTCCTCCAGTCACAGCCCAGAAACCATACCATAATGACCTCAGTGTCCAACTATAGTGAGCCACGTTTTGAATTCACACAGCTCAAAGGGATTCTGGGCTGGAATTGTTAAGCAAATAATTTTAAATAAAGAATAAATCAGAGAAATTAGGAATCTGCTCAGACAATTCATAAACTGAGAGGCAGGCTTGACTAGTGGTTGTATTTTTCATTCAGTTCTTCAGGCCACTGTCTTAGAACTGAGGTGTTAGTAGACAGCTATAAGGGAAAAAGAAAAGACCCCCTCAATCAGCATAAAAACAGCAGCATTTGATCCTCAAAGGCTTCATACAGTCTGAAGTAAGTAGAGACAGACTGAAAGCCTTAGGCCAGGTCTACTCTACCACGTTCTGCCAGCATAACTACATTAGTGAGGGGCATGATCCCTGATCAATGTAGCTAGGCTAGCAAAAGTCCCTAGCATAAACATGGTTATACCAGCAAAACTGTTCTTGTGCCAGAAACACAGAAAACTGGTATAGCTCTGTTAGCAAAGCACTCTCAGTGTAGACCTGGCCTTAATCAGAATTGAGTGGGTTTGTACGTAGAATGGTATTAGTATGTCATTTGCACACTGCAGTTGCTGCTAAGTGCCAAGAGAAGCAACAGCATGCCAGGGAGATCAGTCAGGCAAAGGTGCCATTTGCCTAGTGGAGTTTTTAAATATAGTCCATGAGGTTGAGGGATTAACACAAACTCCCAGAACAAGAAGGTGCATTACCACCTTTCCTTCCCGCAGAGGCGCAGGAGTTTGTGTGCACGCAATTATAGAAACAGCACTAGCAGGATTAAACGCAAAGCAATGGTGTTCATCCTTGGCAGTTATTTGCCCTTGGTGACAGGGAAAATTAGATTGGAAGAGATCTCTTCCAGGCTCAGCTCTGTGTAGTTACACTCAGAACCGTGCCCCCCAGATTTTGACAGAAATACTATGGCAAGAGAAGGTTTACAGACTCATTCAACATAGCAAAAGCACTTCCAACAATGCACTCAGGGCTTCAGATCACTTTTTCCAATGCAAGGTTCTTACTCATTTAGGCCCAGAAGTAGAGTATGTAGGGAAGTATTTGTTCTTGCAAAGAAATTTGCAAGCAAGTAGTTGTTTTGTTGTTTTCTTTTTTGTTGAAAGCCTGAAAATACCTTGCTGCTGCTCCTGCACTCTCAAACTAGTTTGCAGTTGCTAAAAATATAAATGTGTTCAGTGTTCAAGCAAAAACCTGAAAAAAAATTGTCAATTAAAAAAAAAAAAAAACACATACACAACAAACCAAACCAACCCTACATTTACCAGGGAAGTTTCCATTTTGACAAAAAGGATTTTTAGCATTAAAGTCATAACACATTAAAAACTTTGGCCAATTCTAGCCTGATGGCCTTTGCTTACAACTGGCATGCATGCAAATCCAAACATAGGTATAACTAGTGATGCTGGAAGTAAGGGTGCTGGGGGGGGTCTCTCTAGTTTGAAATAGTAACAAAACACCAAATAGATGGAAACCCTGGTTTCCATGATCAGCACCCCCGCCACCCCCCTAAAAATTGTTCTAGCATCCCAGGGTGACAGATAATGCAGAGATCAGCAATCAGAACCACAGTGGTCAATGCTTGCGGAACGATGCTTTGCTGTCAAGCTAATTGCTAGCTCAAGCTTCCAAAGAAGAAATGTTAGGGCCCTCACAAAACCGCAGAGCAGATGCAACAAAACAAAAACACAACCAAAAATAATATGAGCTAGCGGTCCCCCCCCCCGAGCATTATAAACAGGTGCAGGCCTTGAGCTCTGCTACATAAGCATGTTTTCCTTTACTTCAAGTGCTTGAAAACAAAACTTCAGATGCTTTTGACCAGACTGATATTTTGCTGAACTACAGCAACAACCCTGTGCTAAACAGGTGTGGAAGAAAATTGCAGGATGTGTGAGAAACCATTTGCTCACAAAAAGGCATTGGGAAACAGTGTAGGATACTCCACGAATGTTGTATGTTCCAGACAGCAACCTGAAAGGCCAGCTACTTAGCTAAATTTTGGTTGGAAGACTCATGGGAAGGCGCTTCACAGTATTTCACCTGTTTGTCGGTAGCCAAAGACAGCACCAAAGCAGAAGTCAAGCTAGGTTTCCAAATATTCTTAAAAATAGAACTAGGGTTTGAGAACCCAAGAGGATTAGAGTCAGGTTGTTTCCCATTCCTGAAGAAGGGCCTAAACCCACAAGTCCTTCAGATCTGAACTTTGCATCAGAGTTCGAGTTGTTACCAAATATTCCAAGACCCTTTTCCAGCCCTGATGGTGATGGAGCTGAGAACCATCAGTAAAGGTGCTGCTCTCATTGATTTGATGGGTACTTCACAAACATTGCTAACTTACTCTCCGCTACCTCAAACCCAGCTTTCTGCTGTACCAGAGGGGCACCCAGCACTTTGCAAGTATAAAATAAGATTTGCAATATACTGCAACCCCTGAAATATGAAATGCATTGACACGGACTAGCTCTCTCACACACACAGCTGCCTCCCAGCATGAGTAGTTTGGATTCATTACAGACACTGAACTGTTGATCCAAAGGAGGACAGTGGTTGCCTCGGCGTCTCAAGAAAATTGAAGCTCTGCCACATTCTGTTAAATGCGGACTAGGTCTGTCCCTGTTAAATGCGGACTAGGTCTGTCCCTGTTAAATGCGGACTAGGTCTGTTCCTTGGCTTGCTTTGCAAGCCATTTCCTTCTCATATTGGTTGGGGGCACCAGTTTTATGTGGTTTTCCATTTCAAGTTTAGATGAGTTACGGAGTGCACCTGTGCTAGTGAAAAAATCCATAGATTAGTGAGAGTCTTTTTCCAACCCCCTCAGCCCTATCAGAAGAGCAGGTCACGGCTATTTAAAGACAAAATAATTATTTTTGTTTTTGTGGCCATGGTCACAGAAAGAATCTGTTCCTTCTCTTCAGCAGAAGAGAGCTACAACAACTCAAATATGCCAGCAACTGACGTCAGAAGAGAACAGTTGTTAAAACAGCCGTCCTACAGTCAGATAGGCAAGACCAGCATGTGGCCACATCTCGTATAGATCAGCCTCAGCCACATATGAGGATACCAAATGCAGCTTCTGTCTTCCAGGCATCTACACCTGCATCAGAGAGCCCCAGATAAAAGCTCAAGATGCAAAAGATTTCTGGAGTGAGGATTTTGATGCGCACCTTGCGGAAAAGAATTCAGGAACTCTCTCAATGCAGCACCCATAAAATGAAATTTTTCCTTTAATAGTAGTGGTAATTTACTATAAAACTTTACAAATTTAAAATGTAAAACAATGCATCAAATCACAGGTACCACCGAACTCTTCGGGGGCGGGGTGTGTGCGATGCACCATAGAAGCAGTCACACCGGGATCATAATAGTGTTTCACAACCGGGCACAAGCAAAACTAGAACGTGCAACTGTGATCACCATGTCAAAAAGTCAAGTGTGACAGCAGTCAAACCTTTGAGGAAACCTCATTTTTAAAGGAGGGGTTGGCCCCTCTAACTGTAGTGATTTCTCTAAACCTCAACCATATTTGTATGGTGGTGTCTACCTGCTGTTTTCAGCTTCATTTCATCCTCTTTAAGTCCATTCTTTGCATTTCAGAGATGTGCCTACACCACAAACTGAACACTGACTCTGGACAAAGCAGAGCCCTAAATAAAAGCCAGACGCAGCTGGCTCCATAGTTTGCAGCCTCAACCCAGAGCAAAGAACTGAAGGGCTATGGAGATAGGGGCTATCCTCTCCTCCCTGGGATTGGTCCCTCCAGATCAGGGTTCAGGCACATTGGCTGGGGGTGCTGTGGGGAGGCTTGCGCTGCTGCTACCTAGGCTGCACCTGTTATGTGAACAGAAAGAGGACTGTAGTGTTGAGTGCTGTTAAAGTGGCACCCATCACAAGCACTAAGGCCATGTTAACAGTCCTCTCCCCCATGTTTAGCATTTGAAGTTATACTCACTTCCAGACGACCTCCAACTGTAACTTGATGGTGCCTAGCTCAGTTATATCCACAATGATCGCCTGAGGCCTGGTTGTAAAGAAGTCGATGCTGTCACACGTTACCACGCCAACTAGAATCGTGGTCAGTCCCCGCAGCTCTGTGACCTACAGAGGCACAAACCCATTTTCATTTTACCAGATACCTGACACACATGAAGGATAGTTGAGGAGTTTAGGGAGGCTGGACACATGGGATTTGGCTGAGACCAGTTCATGCCCATGTGACACACAGATTCTCTACCACCCATATGAGGAACTGGCCAGTATGTCACTTTGGGTGTACACTGAACATAGCAGCCTAGAATCAGCTCTTTGAGGTCATAGGCCAAGTTTTTCAAGCCTGGGTGCCTACGTTTAGGGCCCTAAATAGTAATAGGCTGATTTTCCACACATGCTGACCCATATGCAGCTCCCATTCACACCAGTGGGGGCTAGGAGTGTTCAGCACTTCTGAAAGTGAAAGTCATTCCATTTATTTAGGAGCCTAAACTTTGGCACCCTGAACATTCTAGTTTTAGTGTATATTCAAGTAATTGTATCAGACAAACAACCTGGAATCCTGGAGCCCATTTTGCTGTAAGATATATGTTTTACAGCAAGCCTCCCCCATCCCTGGATTTGACCCAAAAATCATCTAGGGTAGAGACCCATTAGATTATCTAGTCCATCTCCCTAGTAATGTAAGGCTGTTCCAGTCCCCAACTACCTCCAGAATGTGGACACAGCCCTTGTCTACCACTCCCTCCTGGGCCGAGCTGATCTCGGCTGCAGCTCAGAATCAAAGCCTACAGGTCTTCAGCGTCCCTCCTCTCTTGGTTCACAAGCAGCACCCCCTTAATTTGTCAGTCGCTCATCCCAGTTCTAGCCCATTACACATGCTTTGCAGCCTGACCCACAGCTTCTTTAGCCACAGCTGAGATCATCAATGCCAGAGAGACAGCTTCCCAGTTCTCAAATCTGTCTGCAGCCCTGGCAAGTGGGGCTGGAAAACTCCCAACCAAGATGCTGCTGGACAAAGGCATATTACTACTTTTGTGCATCAAGGTGTCTGTCATACTTTAGGATCAGGGGAAAGATTTAGCAGGTAAAGTTTTCAGAAGCATGTATGTCTCATTTGAGAGTTAATGGTAATTAGGAGCCCAAGTCACTTTTGGAAGTGGGACTCTGGCACTTTTGAAAATTTCACCCAATACACACTTGGAGAGGGAAAGCAAAGAAACTAGAGAGTCAGTTAGGTTTAATGAACTGGCATGAAACCCAAATCAAATAACCTCTTTCTTGAGCTTTGAGGCAAGTCATCTTCACTGGTATACAGAGCAATTAATGTTTTTGCAAATATTATGAGAAAACATGCATCTGAATTAGCTTCTCTCCTGATTCTCATTGTGCAGTAGGGAAAAACATTAAGAACATTTTTAAAAGCTCTACTGGCTAGAAGTCAGGAATTCTTTCCTATTTAACTCACATGCTGCCAGAAAGGATGGGGTGTTGCAATAGCTACTTTGCATGTTTTCCAGGCATTGAAAGCCCTATGTTGGCACTACAAAACAATGTGTTTAACTCGTGTTGTGAAGGGTCCAGCCCAACCCTGCAGTCTATTTAGTCCCAACTCCCATCGAAGTTGATGGGAGTCATGACTGCAGGATCTGTCCTTCAGAGGATTCCAGATCACAACAGGAGTTTGCTCCTAAGCAGCAGCAGCCAGGTCAGGATGGAATGTAAGACAGGTGGAAGCCACAGTAGTAATAGTAACAGGAGGATCCAACTTTTACCTCAGTGAAAGAATAAAGTGCCTATAATGCATCTGTATATCCGTGGCCCCACAAAGTCGCAGGACCTCCTCGTCAACCTCCTCCTAGCCCTGGCCAAAATGGCCATCTACAAAACCAGGGAGAGGCGGTTGGCCGACAAGGTTTCCTGTGACTGTGGGGCCTATTTCCGCTCCTCAATGTGTTCATGCACCTGGGCGGAATCCGCTGGCTCCGTTGATGCCTTCGAGGAGCAGTAGGCGCTGTCAGGGGTTCTCTGCTTGGTGTACCTACTAGGTTTCTTTGTTTAGCCCTGTGACCTCACTCCCATTCCTGTTATACCTTTAGTTGTCCCCCGCAATCATTTGGAATCCCAGACCTGTGGATCATCCCCGGAGGCTGTGGGGAGGTCCTTTAGCAGTGGGGGCCTGCCCACTTCCTGGATCCCAACAGGATGCATCCGTACGGTATAGCAGGGAAACGGAGTCTAGGACTCTGTTACAAAGAATACAGGGGTCCTCCAATGAGTCACTCTAATGCCGAGTGGCAGAATCCTGCCCAAAGATACTGAATAATTATAGCCAACTCACACTGGCAGGTGGATCTCATTAGCTCCAATAGGATATACATGGGTTTGAGTATCTCTGGGGCAGAGGTAATTAGGGCTTGAGACAGAAGAGGTCATGTAGGGAAACCCCAAGAATGGGCAAGTTTGGCTTATATAAATATATTATACATATACACACACACTTTTTGGAGCAGGGTAAGAAAATCCCAAAAATCTTGCACGCAATATAATTACTCTATCCAAGCTGTGGACCCCTAACCACCAAATCTTGGATGCAGATCTTAAAAAGGGGTCATTCTAATATATGGAAAATCAGAAGCATTAACCCAGTTGCCATCTAACCCAGAGTCCTGGGAAAGAAAGCAGAAGCAAAGATCAGAGACCAGCTCAGCGAGCAGAACATTGATTAATTGCTGTTTCTATGGAGCTGTAAAAATTCATGTTGTTTTTTAAAAGTGTGCTCGGCAGAGAGCAGAGTGGGAAGGCAAGCTACTTGCTAACCAATGTCTGAGTGGCTGGATTGGAACCAACTACCTTTATTTCAAACTGCTCATGAAGGTTGGGTATAAAAACCTTCTCTTCCTCATCCCATGTTTGGCTGTCATCCGTCTCAATCTTGCCCTTCAGCTTCCACTTCTGGCGTCCCAGTCGCACAAACACCTAGAAGCCACACAGGGAAGAGGAGGCTAGAATCAGGAAATCCCAAGATTCATATGGGACTGCACCATCCCTCCCTCCCCATACTGCAGAGCTGGGGCCTGTTCCTTTGATTGCTATGCTTGTTAAGAAGCAGGGGTGGAGGTGCCAAGTAGTTCTGTGCCCCATCTGTCCTGGAAGAACTTGGGTGGCTAAGTCAGATACCAAAGCGTACGTGGTGTTGTAATGCAGAGAGTGAGTTACTGATGTATAATGTCCTGCTCTGATGCAGGACATGTTTGAAAGTGATTTGGAGTTTTGTTGTCAGCAGGAAGAAAAAAAAAAAGTGTGTTAGAACTGAAACTACTAGGATGAAAGCCATAGGCTTTATACACAGTTATGCCGTCCTGTGCCCTTCAGGGCAGTTGTGCCAATTGGGATCTACCCTATGAAGAGGCAACAGTATTGCTGCTACCCTCTTTCAGGGTGGTTTTAGACTCCAGCCAGGTCCCTCAAGGAGCAATTCTGGAAGACTCCCGTCTCCCAGGTACCTGGGCCCTGCCCTCTATCAAGGCACTTAGCCAAGTCCTTCAGCTTCACACTGAGGCAGGAATAACTCAGTGGCTGTGCAGCACCCATAAAGCTTCTGGTTTCCCTGCACTCTCTCCTGCTCTGCCTACACATCCCCACACTCCCCACCTGCATGTTACAGGTGCAAGCCCATAATTGCAAGTTGTAAGAGAAAATGGATTGCTGTGTACTGCACCTCATACTGGTCCCCTGGGCAGAGACGTGCGTAGCCCACCAACCCTGAAAAGAGAAGGAAAACCCCTTCCAATGTTTGTAGCTTGAGAGAGTTTCAAAAATATCTACTAACAAACCTCAGCTTGCATTAAACACCCAGGTGACACTCTGATTAACTTCCCCTTACAGCGAAATCTATGGAGGAGTTGTTAGCAAGTCAAGCCATTTGTCTTACTTAACATTGCAAGCTTTGCATAAGGGCGGGGAAGAGGAAAGTCCTGCTTCAACACTCACATATAAAAGAATGCTGCAGAGCAGGGACAAGTTCGTTTCACATCAATGGGAAAAAACTAAGTTTTATTAAGAGTCAGTTTAGGTCCCGATCCAAAGCCCAGCTCCCAGACTTCCATGAGCTTTGAATCAGGCCTTTATACAGCAAAGCTGAAAAGCTTTTGGCTCAAATGATGAATGCTGTAGAATAGAACAAGGGCTACCTTTCATTTTCAAGTGAAATTCTCCCAAGTGCACCTCCAGTGCCCCTTCAATCAGACACATATCCTGGAAGACAAAGACAGAGCAACGACGACATTGACTGAAGAGCGGAATAAAATGGTACCATGAGAAAGTGGCGGCCATTTGTCTCCATTCGTGAAGACAAAACACATCACAGACCAGTTTAGGGCGGTTTGCAAAAGAACATACATTTTACATGCCATTAACACTTTTCACTTCTGCAAACTGAGGCAGATTTTTTTTTTAAATGCCACTTTCAGGATGGGAAGTTATATCCCAGCTCTGCAAAGGAGCAAGGTGGTTTAAGTAATAGGCTTCCCACAGTCTTCCCCATTTAGGGTACAGCGACATGGAGCTGGAGGTGTAAATTCCAGATTGACGAGACATATTCGCGCTAGTTCTGATGGAGCTAGTGCACCCGGGGGGGGGGGGGGGAAGGAGAAGGGATGTACTGCTGCTGTGGCTAGGGTCTAAGTAGAAAGGTGGGCTAACCAGCCAAAGAACAATCTTGTCCAAGACCCTACGCACATACTCAGACAGGTAGTCCCTCCCACTGCTTCCACTGTTACAGCTATGCTATTTTGAGCATGCTAGCGCCATCAGACCTAGTGTGGGTATGTCTCCTCAAGCCGACATTTACACCTCCAGCTTGAAGTCTAGACCTGCCCAGACTTACTCACACAGTAGGTTACTAACTATGACTCCCCTTAGAAGTCAATGGGAAGACACCCCAAACACACACCCCCAGTAACTTCCTATGAAAGCTAGATTAGGCCCTAATGTTACAGATCAAATTCAAGAGACTTTATATGCACCCTTCATTAACACATTTGGTTGTAAGCAAACAACCTGCATTACCCTGTGAATTTCACTGCATATTAAGGGGGAAGTTAGACAGCAAAATACTTTTATAGAGGAAGCTGTGAGTTGTAGCTGATGTTATGCATCTTCATCTAATTTTATGTTACATTCGAAGCCCAGGCCACAGGAGAGCCAACAGTTCAGAACAGCATGTCTTGGTACAGTATCCACTGCTTTGAGTTTAGACAGAAGAGTCAGTTCTTTGTCACATGCTTGAGGAGTTCTCCTACCTCTGTGCATTCTTGGAGGTTCTTATAAAGTTCTACCAGGCTCTCTCTGGAGGCTTTAGTGGAGGGAGTCAAGGAGAAGGCATGTTTCATATTAGAGGCCCCATCTCGCAGCCTGCACTGGATGCAGTAAGTTTCATATAGTTCTTCTACCTTTAATAGAAAAAAGGACTCCATGTTTTACACCACTCTGGTGTCTGTTTCCAATTTTAGTGAGTTGAGGGAAGTAACATGAGGAATTTTAGTTTGACGTTTCCCCTTGTAAGAGAGCAAATCCCATCGTTCTAGCACCGACTCGTACCCCCTACTCTTATAAGAAGCCTTTTTAACCAAGTGGATCCAAGATTTCATACGGAGGGAAGAGTGAGTGAAGGATTAATCCCACCAGCTAAAGATTTTTTGATGTTTCATACAGTACAAGAAAAGCATGCTAATGAGAGGGTCCTACATAACCTTGAAACATGTCACTGTTAACAGTCTGTCCCAGGTTTAAGGCCAAACACTTAAATAAAAGTTCATTTCCAGCCAGCAGCAACAAAAACTACTAATCCACCACAGAGCCTGAAAGTCTCTAATTAGTTGTTCTGCAGATAACCTTCAGTTGATCATTTATAAGTTATGGGTAAATAGTGTCTTGGGGGTATTGTTTTTCTGCTGTTTTAGCTACACAGGCTTCCCTACCTCACTTTGTTTTGTCTACCACTGACTCCAAAAATCTGAGCAGAGAGCCAAGTTTCTTCCAGCACTACTTCTAAAGAGCTAGGGCACCAGGCTTTGGAAACCACCATCACCAGATACAAGACACAGAACATGTAGACCTAGAATTCTATCCAAGGTACTCAGTGTGGTAATGTGAGCCTTGTATCTGAGGGCCCTGCAATCTTTAATGCACTTCTCCTCACAACATACCCATGAGGCAGGGCAGTGCTATTATCTCCATTTTACCAACGGTGAACTGAGGTACAGCAAGGCTAAGTAACTTGCTTAAGGTCACACAAGAAGTTAATGGCAGAACAGGGAATTAAACCTCAGTCTCCCAGGTCCTAGACTAGTACCATAACCACTGGGCCATCCTTCCCATCTCCAAGTCTACACGGAGGAGGCAATCCACAGAGTCAATGGGAGCATGTTGAGGTGGCTAAAGATGGGGCTGCTCTATTTGTTTAATCTCATGAAGTGACTATATAGGGAGACCTATGGCACTGATGCTTCAGTGCTAGCCCAGAGAAAGGCTCTACTTACTCAAGCTAACCAATCCCTTACCTACATCCAAGTCATGTTAGAATGGCCTTAAATGGGTGTGTAGGATACATCAGACTCTCAAATGTGTGTTTAGTGAGGACATGACTCAAACCAGGGATATCCAGAAAGCAGGTTCGTTCTACTGTTAACTAAGCTACGAGGCATGGAGGGTGAAAGGAGACATGGTTTAATCCGGGGACGGACTAAGGGTGTAGGGGGCAGCCACTGAATTCTGGGTTGGAAAACACACACACACAGAGCTCCAAGTATGTAAGAGAGATTTTTGAGCCCTTCAAATCAGACAGGAGATTGGCAGAATCCATTAAGTGCCACCACCTAGGCTTCCAGGAAGCAAAAAAAAAAAAAAAACCACACAAAACGAAAAGAATCACCCTCTACAACTCCTCCCAACAACACCTTTCTTCTGAATAAGCTGGTAGGATATAGAAACTGGTTCTGCAGGCTGAGGCTGGGCTGTGCCCAGGATTCAGTCTGAATAGAGCCAAACAAAAAAAAAACCCCACTCCTCCTCTTCTCTTATGAAAGCTAGTTCCCCTCAAATAAGATATCATGAAAGTATTTTCTAAATCATAATTTTTATATAGCAGTGTAAGTCTCCTATACACAGAATATACATAGAGCACCCCTTACCTTGCTTATATGAAATTCCAGTTTTCTGATGTACCTTTCAACAGAGCGAATTTGCTTTAGAAAGGGAAAGATTAAAAGCTATTTAAACATTCACATAATATGGCATTAAATTATTCAGTGATCATATAGTATCAGTGCTTGCACTTCACTGTTCATTGCTTTCTGTGACATGTCCATCCCTACCCCTCCAAAAGAATGAGTACTTACCTTATCCAGATCATAATAGAAAGCCTGAAAGACAAATATGACAAGTTGCCTGTGAATTCATTTGCACATATTGAAGACATTTCCAAATCTGCTGCAGAACAACTGCCCATGCTGCACCAAGTCCTTGTTTGGAGAGTTACAACGTTGTAAGCAGCATTGTACAATACAGTGGGCAGATAGCAAGGTCAACATTTTCAAAAGTACCCTCTGCGTTTCAGTGTCTTGACTTTTGGGTGCCCAAACTGAGGCACCTCAAGTACGATTTTTCAGAAATAGTAAGGATTTGAAAATTGGTTGAGGTAGGTGGGAGGTTTTTGAATCCTTTATCCAGCCTTGGAAGGTTACTTTGTGTTCCCAAGGACAGTCCCAAATCTGAGTCTGAAGTGCTTTATACACCTTAGTAATAGCAAAGATTTTGTTGGGATTTTTGTATGTGGCAGAATCAGAGTTGCATGGACCCACTTATCAATGTTTCACCAGTTTTGCCTAATCTTTATTTCTCCTCAGTTTCTAGACGCAGCCAGGCATGTATATTACTTCCCAGATAATAATCAGCTGGCAGCTACCATCCCAAAAGGGAAGGAGTGCAAGCCGGGAACACAGCAGGATACGGAGAATTAAGACTCCTGGATTCTTTCCCCACATCTAGCCTTGACTTACTTGGTGAATTTAGCAAATAGGTATAATACTAGCCTCTCACTTTCAGCATTAACAAATGGAAACCCCTTTGAGTCCCAAAGGCAAGAGACAGTGGTTGTTTTTAAAACTCTGCCCTCTTTAAACCATCTAAGCGATTAAAACAGAGAAGCATCTTACCAGTCTGGAGTTCCTTTTTGTATCTTTGTGTCGAGCAGACAGATAATCCAACTCAGCCTGATGCACTTGCAGGTATTCACTGGAGAGGAAAAACCCAAAAGTGATATTTTCTTCTAGCATGTGCAGTAGGATACTCCCAGGGAGAAGTTTAAGAGGGCCAGGGGGAGGGAGAGAAGAGAGAGATTCTCTGAGCCCCCACGTCAAAAGTAGCCAGAGGTTGGGAAGGGCTGAGCTTGTGCAGCTGAAGGAACAATTGGAAATGGGAAGGGGAGCCATGGCAGCTGGAAAACAAGATGGGCTTCACGTGGGTTAGGAGCTGTTGCCCTCTTCCTTGCTACCTCTCATCCCCAGGTATTTCCTCACGTGCCCTCCAAGCTGCAAGAACTTCCTGTTCTGTTTCCCTCACACCGAGAACACAGCCAGAGCCTCGTTCCGAGAGACTTGTTTTAGATTAAGTAAAACGAGAAACAGCAAAAGTGCAAGTGAGCAGGCACAGCATGCAGCTCACTGCAACAGCCGCCATCTTGGGACAGGCTGCTCTGAGGCATTTAAAGGAGGAACGGGACCCAGGAGACTCCTAATGCTGAAAAGTGCTGTACGTAGGAAACAAAATAGTACGTCTCCTTATGCCCACACTGTATGTCTGTGTGCCCCTGCTCTCCCAGCAGGACCCTCCCTGCATCAACTTTCTTCCCCTCAGGACAACCCTTTACCTGCACAAGCCACAATCCCTTCAGAGGAGCCCTCATGTCTGGGCCTGCTCCCATGTCTCACTACCTCCCCTTTGCTTGGCCACCCACAGTGGGGAAGCAAGAAGTGGGAGAGGGAGGCGTCTCCCAGCCTCTGTCTCCCCTTAGAGGGGGAAGGTGGCTTTGGGCCATGCTGCTGGCCTCCTGCTCAGCTTCCCAGAGAAGCACTGGGGTAGGGAAGATGGTGTTCTGCAGCTCTGTGCTCTTTGTACCCTTGTGGCTGGAGCAGTAGCTGCCATTTGAGGAGGGAGGAGCTGCAGAGCTGACTGAGAACTGAGCAGCTCATTAGCCAGCTGTAGCTCACAAGGCCAAAGGGTCGTGACACTGAACACTTCAGCCCTCTGGGCCCGATTTTCAGAGGTGCTGAGCATCCTCAGCTCCAGCCAAAGTCAATGGGAGCAATCAGTACTCAGTCAGCACCTCTTAAACATGCCCTTTGTTTATCTGAGCAGCTGGGGACTGAATGCCACCTTTGCTGTCCCCTAGAGCAGCCATCGGCTCCTTCCTGATACTACCGTTGCTTTCCCCTTCCCCATTAAAAAGCAGGGGCCTTACCCTGCAAAGTGTTGAGAACTCAGCAGTTATCGGCTTCAGTGAGCCCCATGGCAGCTCCCAGAAGACAAAACTCCTCCTGAGCTGAACCTCTTCCAACTTTGTTTTAATTCAGAACAGACCTGAGTAAGTCTATTTTCCTCTTTTGTATTTAAAGAGCTGTAGACAATCACCTTCTGAAAAATGCTGCTTTACAAGACACAGAACCTGAGCAGCTTGATGTGTTTATGTTAAGCAGCCTGCACTTTTCCAAAAATACACCAAAAGAGTCATTTATTTTCTAACTATTATGAACACATTCCTGTTAATACACAAAAAGTGACTCCAGCATTCAATTTTCTTCTCTCCACGCTTGCTGATAACAGCTCAATGCAGTGGTAGTCAGAGTTGGGTTTTTGTTTTGTAAAGTCATTTTAGGCTTTAGCAGCATTTTAAGATGCTCAGTTGGTGGGGAGGCACCCAGAAGGGTCATTAGACTTAAGAGCTAGTTGCTGTTACTACCTTAAAACAAAAAACATTCCAGCAAGAACAAATGGATTTAGTTTGAATCTGCTTAAAATTTGGCCTTTAAATTATTGGATGCAGCTGTTTTCTGCAGGCAGCTTTAATTAGTTACTCAGTCCTGCAAGGAAGTTGCAGGAGTCTGACTGTGCGATGTTCCTCACAGAATTGGGACAATAACTCTAATCCATCTGACAGTTTAGTCTCCCCAAGCCCTAATAAAATATCAGAGTCAAATCTATTCTTTTTTCTAGGTTTAGAATTTTTATTGTTAATTTAATTCCATTAACTAGTCACTGGCGTAAACTTTTAAAGACTAAGACATTACAGTCCTCGAGGGAAACCAAGTGTGTTTTAACTATGTGAGACATAATTAAGAAGTTGAGGTGTTTACGTTTAGGACAAATAATTTCAGTACTTTTTCTCATGATGTTCTTAGCTTAAAATCCCATGGTAATAAAATCCTGGAGATGTCAATGTTATATTTGAAGGAGCTGCGTGCCAGCATGGTTCCCACAGATTAGAAGCACTGAGAGGAATTATAAAGCCACACGAAGGTTATGATGATTTCATTTACTCTTTGTCTATTCAGCAATGGACAGGTACCTAATGAAGTTCCTAGAGCTCCATGCTAGACCTATGGATATCATGGAGTTTAACTATTACCATTAATAGAAGCAGGATAAAATCCTTGGCGTGAGGGAGGATTTGGTCCCAAATAAATTTGTTTGCCACTAGGTAGTGTATTTACTAAGGGCCCAGTTCTGTATCTAATTAAGACAATAGGAGCTTTGCCATTGATTAGAAAGGTTACTGTATTGGGCCATTAAGCTAGAGTATAAGGAACAAAGTTTTTGCAGTAACAGAGACACTAAAGAAAGCAAATTCCAACAAATTAATACTTGAAAAGTCCTTACTTAAGTCCTTTCTTCAAAGCTTCAAAAATTTTCTTCACCTGCTGTGGTTTTGGATCCCAGATAACAGCCCCTCTCTGCAGGGATGGATACATTTTGGAGGATTTCACAGACATTTTAGACCTCACTGAATTCCTGCTGAGAGACTTTCTGTAGGGAAGGGGAAAAAAAAAATCAGCACCTCAGAGCTGAAAGAAAGTCTCACACATATAGCTACTACAATGCTAGTTACAGAGCTGTTCCTGCAAGCTTTTACTCAAAGGAGCAGTCTCACTGAAAACAGTGGGACTACTTAAGTGAGTAAGGGAAAGCAGGATCAGGACCTGTATTAGAGCCATAATAGAGAGCCATTCAGTGTTTGTCTTTAACACATCAAAGCCAAGAAATGGCTACAGCTCACTGGGATGAGAGGCCAAAGGAAGATAGAGAAGATTAGGTTATGAATGTTAACTTTGAATTTCCTGGCTTCAAGGGAGACCACTAGGAGTCAAGTGTGTCTCTTCTGTTGTTAATTTATATTAAACACACAATGTCCCATTATTTTGGGGAACCAGAAAGGGATCATTATTATATACTACTGATTCACAGACTGCCATTCAAACACTGAGTAATTAATCCTTGTGGTCTGCTCACAAAATAGCTTATGCTTATGCCCTGATCCTGTAAACTCATTCATACAAGTAGCCCTGTTAAACATAACAGGGCTACTCAAACAAGGTAGGTTTGTAGAACTGGGACCCAATTGTTATTATCCAGAGAAACTAAGGCAGGGTGTTTGTGGGTTACTCAAGGTCAGTAAAGAAGTAGGGTCACAGTCAGGATTAGATCTCAGGCACTGCTGTTCTCCAAATTTCACTAATCCCCTGACAAATGGTCCACTCTCATCAACTAAAAGGTATCCACTAAACCACTGATTCAGTGGTTCTCAAACTTTTGTACTGGTGACCCCTTTCACATAGCAAGCCTCTAGGTGCGACCCCCCCCCCTTATAAATTAAAAACACCTTTTTATATATTTAACACCATTATAAATGCTGGATGCAAAGCAGGGTTTAGGGTGGAGGCTGACAGCTTATGACCCCCCCCCCATGTAATAACATAGTGGCCCCCTGAGGGGTCCCAACCCCCAGTTTGAGAACCCCTGGATTAAACACTTAGGAATCATATACATGATTAAAAGTATGTTAACAGACCAGATCAGTTCTGGGCTATTAGGCAGTCTAGCAAAGATATGTTATAAAAGGACTTCAGAAATAGCTGCTGCTTGGCTGCTCTCAACATCTGTTTAAATAGTCACTCATTTATATTTTGAATCTGAAGCATGCCAGCAGTCTACCAGGCCCAGATTATAAAACGATTTAAAAAAGGGGGGGGGAGAGGAGGGAAGGGGTTCCTAACCCAAACTGGCTATCTTTTTAAAGCAAATCAAAATCAAATCCCACTTAGCTCAGAAATTCTGTAAAAAGTCATTACATAATAGGCCTGCTGTGCAAATATGAAGAACAATAGCATCTGTAGTCTTTAGTCATATACCTGTGATGGGTAAGCAGAGCCCAGGATAGGCTTTGAAACCACTGCTAACACTTATCTCCTGTTGATAGATTCCTGGCTGGTTTACCTCTCTCTTTATAGGCTCATAAACCCTGATTATTTGTAGCTGGTTTAATTAATTCCCCCTTCTATTTGCTTTAACTTCCTCCTTTAAACCAAGCCTTTATTTGAGAAAGTTACTCTAGGGAAATTCCCCACTCCTGACATTTATTCATATTGTGTCATTGGGTTGAGTTGAGGCTCCCTCAGCTTTAGAGTGCTGAGTAAATCCTGGATTGGACGCACCTGGGGAAATGACAAAAATCTGGATTCTAGAGGTGGCCCATTGTATAATTCATGGGCTACCATAAAGAATGTGCATGAAACTCAAGGTGTGAGGAAGGATGGCCTGGGGATTGACTCTATCTGTATCACAGGCTTGCTCTATGATCCTTGGGTAGGTCCTTCAGTTAGGTGCCTAAATATTTTCAAGGAGCTGGGCTTTCTGTGTCTTAATTTTCCCCATTTTACAGTTGGGAATAACAATATTTATCTCCCTTACAGGGTGTTGGGAAGCTAAGTTAATTAATGTGCCTAAAGCATTTTGAGAGCTTTAGATGGAAGCTGGTATAGAAATGCAATGTATGGTCAGTGTGTGCTCAGAAGGGAGTCTCCCTGTGATCTCCTACTGTGTCATTCTAAAGTGCTAGTGAGAGATTATGAAGGGAAAGGCAATGAGCAAATACGTTCACTTTGCTGGGGAAAGTCCTCTGGTGTTTCACAATGCCTTGCTCTTAACACTTAGCATCATCTCAAAATACTTTCTTAAATGTCTGAATCCTCATTCCTGAGCAAAACTTTCCTCTATTGAAAGAGTTAAGAGGCAATGGGATTTTGCAAATAGGAAAAAAATGCATAAAGGCTGATTGTTTAGAAATGCTTTATAGCTGAAAGTAACAGAGTAATCTTAGGGGAAATCTAAACTTGCTTATTTGGAGCTTTCTTAGCCTGCTGGAGGTGATTTGGTTATAGAAACAGCTGTTCAACTCTTTTCCTGCTAGACTCCTTCCTTGTAAGAACTCCCACTATGTATGTCAAGCTCAAATCCGTTTATGTAATTTACTGTCTGTGTTTTTCTCGACAGTTTAGTTATCAGTGTGACTTTAGACATCTGACTTGTGCTAGGACTGTTATTATGCATGTTCCATAATAAATTTTATGAAGTCATGTGCAAAGACTTCCAGATTAGATTACCAACCTGTGTCAGGTTCTCATTTCAACTCGTAATTTTATAAATGCTGTGTTTGGTGACAAGGTTAATTAGTTTGTTCAGTGCTTTGAAAATACAAAGTATTGTATAAGAAGTGCCAGGTGCTTTACTGAGATACAAGCGATTACTCTCAAGGATTGCTTTAAGAAATGGAATACTTTTAGTGACATATTTTTCAGCCCTTCTATATGATTCAAATCAGTTCCCTTTTGGTATTTTTCTGGGATATGTTGACAGCCAGAGCTGATGACAATCTTCCATTTATATAGCATTATTATCCTAAAAACATTTCACAGATTATATAGGAATCACTTAATTCAGCACGGGAACATGAGCCACTCTTGGGTGGAAGTGGCAGCTATTTAACACTACCTAGCAATGTTACACAATAATTTAGAACAATCAGTAAGATTACTGGACCACTCTGATGATACGGTCCTGAGACTGAGAGAACTGGGTTCTAGTCCCAGTTGTGCCACTGAATTGCTGTGTGACATTGGGCAGTTCCCGTAAGCTTTTCTGAGTAGCAGCCATGTTAGTCTGTATTCGCAAAAAGAAAAGGAGTACTTGTGGCACCTTAGAGACTAACCAATTTATTTGAGCATAAGCTTTCGTGAGCTACAGCTCACTTCATTGGATGGATAAAGTGAGCTGTAGCTCACGAAAGCTTATGCTCAGATACATTTGTTAGTTCTAAGGTGCCACAAGTACTCCTTTTCTTTAATCTTTTCTGTGCCTCTGCACACCCTTTGTCTGTCTTGTCTATTTCAGCTGCAAGAGACCTTCTCTGTCCCTATTATAATGGCATCCCAATCTCATCTGGGGCCTCTAGATGCCATTTAATATAAATAACTCCAGGAGGAATTTAGGTATGATGAATGTAATTACCTCAGTGAGATTTTAACCAGGATCTAGAGCTAACACCCTTGTTCTACTGAAAAGTGCCATGAGATTTTTAATGACTATAAGGAGTCAGGAAGTTTTACGTCTCTTCTCATAGATAGCATTGGCACAAGCATGTTAGTCACTACTACGCTGCTGGGAGAGAATTGTTGCTTTGGTACAGACTCAGAGCTTCAGTAGGGGGGTTCTTCCCTCTAACACCAATGCTTGCAGCACTCGGTGTTCTCTTTGGGATCCCAACCAAACATGGATCTGTCACAACCCTGCTTTTTGTGTGAGATGTGAGCAGCTCCCTTTGAATTCCCATCCATGTCCTTTAAATCAGTATCTAGTGGCAAGTTTGCAAATAGATTTTGTAGGTATTGCTTTGTAAGTACAATTTTGCCCTTAACACGCCAGACCCATTTTAGGGGAACTCAGCTGTGCTCTTCCTGCCAGATGGAAGAATGATCCATACAGTCTGATCTGCTTTTGACTCTGCAGAAATGTTGGGTGACATGATAACGATAAATAGTAATTTACACGCACCTTCCATCCCAAAGCAGTTTGCAGACTAAAATTGATATGCAAACTAAGAAGAGGTTGCTTCATCCACCGGTGAAGTGCAGCCATCTCTAGAGCATGATGAAGTAGCTGTTTAACAGTGCACAACAACAGTACAAGTCCATTTAGGACAAAAAATGTAAGGCACACCTTATGCAGGGAGGATTTAGGTTGGCAAGTGTTGACCTGTGTCTAATATCTGACTGCTCAGGGTGCATGTATTTGTTTTCACTTTTTATTCTACTTACGCTAGTTTTCTGCTTTGCACTGTGCTGAATCCAGCAAAGGAGCAGCTCCTGCTGATTCCACCCCCATCGCTGGGAGAGACAAATGTCAATTTCACTGACATGATAACTGCTCAGGAAGTCTGTCCCCTCCTGAAATAAACAGAACAACAGATGAGTCAAAACCTGCTTGGCAGTTCAGATTAAACCAGCGCTGCACTGCAGAGAGGAGAAACCACTGAGCAATACAGCAAACACTGGAGTGGCTAGAAGAAAAGATCTGTCTGCTGAACACATTTTTCTCTCTCACACAATATAATTAATAAACAACGGAGTCATCTGAAACACACACACACCCTCAGGTATTGGCTGATTGGTGTAGCAAACTCTAGACCTCATCCTATCAGAAGCCAACTGCTGCAGAAGCCAGTGGGGCTGGAGGGCTCCCAGTACCTCATCCACTACTTCCTACAATTTGCAACAGCCCTACTGTCGAAGAAGGAGGTTGATGCAACCCATGTGCTCCCAAGTCAGTCTGGGATACCAGAACAGTACTCGGGCCCCAGTCCTGCAAGCAGGGACATGAAAACAGAGCCCTGCATCCATACAGAGCCCCATGGAAGCCAATGGGGCGCCACATGGCTGAAGCGTGTACACACACACCCTAGCGTGGAGCTAATGGCAGGATCGGAGCCCTCGTTTGTGGTGCTTGAGCCCATGGCAGAACTTTTTACATCAGTAAAACTCAGGCTTGTTCTCCCTTTCTGGCGAGTTTAATTTCCCTGGGATCCCTCACTTCTGTTTCCCATCAGTCATACTCTTTTGTTTCCTGGAGAATTATGTTCTCCACTGTATATGTATAGAATTCATACTGTAATACAAGTAAGACACATCCACAAAACAGCTGTAGAAAATCATCCTAGGCAGTTAATATACAGAAGAATTCCCCTCCCTCCCCCCCCTCAGGCTGGTGTAATGTAAACACCATAGCTAGCAGCTTTGCTTTCTTTTTTTTAATGGGGCCATGCAGAGGGCCAAACCTTGACATCTTCTCTCCATTCTTACTCTCTCCTTACTCAGGCAAAACTCCCACTGAGGTCAGTGGGGAATTTTTGCTTGAGTAAAATGTGAGAGCCAGAGCATTCCCTTCTGCAGAAATATCCGTGGAAGAGGAGAACGCCACAAGGATGCCCTCATGGACTTGTGACCAAATTACTCCATGGGGGAAGAGGTATGTGCCTTGCACTGTGGAATGAGTTCCAGAGCCAAGATCCCGCAAGCTTAGTGTGCCTCTGCTGTGGCTCCCACCTCAGTAACATGGCTTCACTTAATAGGACAGCAGTCTTGGAGTCCAGAGAGCAGGGTTCTATTCTTGACTCTACCAAGTGGTTTGCTGTGCAAATGCAGGCATGGTACCTAACCTCAGTTTCCCAATGGATGAGTAGGAGGATACTGATCCTCCTGGAAAGCGCAAGTGCTTTACGTAGGAGGGATGAGAGATTTTGAATGTGTCTCCTGAATTCTAGGCTAAGCTAAGGGCCTTCCTAGTATTAGGCCTCTAAATATTATCTGCAGCAATAGTAACTATATAAATAGTTCACATAACCATGCCCACATATATTTTTCCATCTGATCATTTGAACCTGCATGAGAAGTGAACATTTTACCTGCAGCTTTTCAGCTAATTGTTGCCTGTACTACTTGAGTCCTAAGACTTCTAGGTCCCTGCATGTTTCACTGGCTTGTCCAGGCTTTGGGGAGTTCATGAGTAAGCCAATGGAAAGCAGATGAAAGGTGTTAGAACAAGATCCAACAGTCAAGCAGCGGGGCCAAATAGCCTGCTTTGCAAGAGTCATTCAAGGCAAAAGGGCCTGGGCGCTAAGTATCTTTTCTCTTAGTACATTGAGCTCCACAATATCTCAAAGGGTCTCATTCAATTCCTAGTGAAGTCAATGGAAACCCTCCCACATGGCCGCTTTAGGTGTGCCCCACTCACATTTTAACCAGACACCATGGGGGTTTTGTTTTTTTTTGGCTGTGAGTGGGTGTCTGGTGGCCATCACTGTGTTTAAGGTTGCATGACAGCTTTCATTCTTGCCTACAGTTTTCAGAAGCTCATAACTCTGTGAACAATCAACAATTATGGTGATCATCGGGCTGAAATAAACATGCAACTTACTGAAAAATGTCATTGCCTAACAAGTCATTAGGGAAGAAACAAAAGGAATGGCCTTGTGATTACTGCCTGCATACCCCATGAAAGCTGGACTGGAGTCCTGGGTCCAGTCTTCCACTCCCTGGGATTGGGAGTCTGACAGTGGGGTGGAGAAGTATGGAGAACCTTGCCTTATTTTATTTACTTCTCAAGCCGGTTTGGTAATAGACATTAAAGAGTTCTTAAAGGGAGATTAGCAGGCTTTGAGGGAGGGGGTAATAAACCACAGACAAAAGGAGGGAGACTTGTGGGGGTTGGAAGGTTGTGAGAGGCCCCGTGCAGAAAGGACTTGCAGGTCTGAGCCCTAAATTTGAAGGGCTAAGAAGTGTGAAACTTACAGATCACAAAATCACACTTGATGCTGTAACTAAACTATACTTCAAAAAACCTTGGGCCTGATTCTCTTCTCATTTATACTGGTGTAAATCAGGTGACACTATTGAACTCCAAGGAGTTACACTGGTGCAAAGTGGATATAAATGAGAGGAGAACCAGGCCTTGTGACTGTCATGCTCAGCCCTGAACTTAAAGAAACACTGTCAGGCTTATTTAAACTCACGTGGGCTCAGTTCTCAGCTGGATTGAGTATGTCCCTTTAGTTACAACATTTAGAGTTATATTTCAAAGAAAATCACTGGCAGGACTTGCAAAAACAGAAGCTTTTCTCATCAGAATGAAGGGGAACTGAAATAACCTCAGAGAAAACATCATGGGGGGGGGGGTATTTTTTTACTTTGAAATAACTGTGATAAAGTCAAATCATCTCATGGTACAAAAAATGTTTACATATTTTTGGTGGTGACCCAGAGACCTCATAGCTCAGTTCACACTTCTGACTATAAGGCCTTAAGTAGGATATCATGGTAGCATCTTTTTTTAGCAGGGAAGATTTATAAACACAGTTCTCTAGAAGAGGCTCACAGAGTTTTGCAAGCCAGTGTGTCTATATAAAGTGCTGAACTGCATTACAACTGCTCCTGGAAAAAAGCACCTGGCCACATCTCAAACCAGTTCTTCCCTTAAGTTAGGAGTAGCTCAGACAAGGACTTCCAGCAAAACTTAGCTGAAAATCAATCTCAGAAGTTTACTAACCTGGTAATCTCTGCTGGATGGATCAATGTCTTCAAATCTCAAAATTTTGGGAGTTAACCCTTGGGGTCAGACTCAGAGGTACTTCTCCAATCACAGAAGTCCCAGAAAGCATAAGATGTGATGACAGCAGCTGACTGGGGCCCAGCACATGTAAAATACCAGACATCAGACCAAATGTAAGGAGCCTGCTGCTGGGTGATGGAATAGTTAGGGGAATACATCTAAGGCCACTAGAAGGATTGGGCTGAGAGGAAAAAGGACAGGGACTGAGAGTCTAAGGGTATGTCTGCACTACGAAATTAGGTCAATTTTATAGAAGTCCATTTTTAGCAACCGATTTTATACAGTCAATTGCATATGTCCACACTAAGCGCATTAAGTCGGCGGAGTGCGTCCTCACTACCGTGGCTAGCATCAACTTACAGAGCAGTGCACTGTGGGTAGCTATCCCACAGTTCCCGCAGTCTCTGCTGCCCATTGGAATTCTGGGTTAAGCTCCCAATGCCTGATGGGGTAAAAACATTGCCAGGGGTGGTTTTGGGTACATGTCGTCAGGCCCCACCTCCCTCCCTGAAAGCAATGGCAGACAATTGTTTCGTGCCTTTTTTCCTGGGTTACCCGTGCAGACGCCATACCACGACAAACATGGAGCCCGCTCAGCTCACTGTCATCGTACGTCTCCTGGGTGCTGCTGGCAGATGCGGTACTGCATTGCTACACAGCAGCAGCTCCTTGCTTTCACAGTAGATGGTGCAGTCGGACTGATAGCCAACATACGTCTCCTGGGTGCTCCTGGAAGACCTCAGTGAGGTCTCATGGCTATTCTCCTCTTAGAGCACCAAATGGGAGCCAGAGACTCCAGGTCATTCTCTTCTTTAAGTTTCATCTCACGGAGATTCAGTCCTGCCTGGAATATCATGCGAGCTGGAGGCTTCTGCCTTGGGCTGCTTTCCCAGCTGGCAGCACCACGCGGTTGCACCTACCCCAGCCTACCCCTTGCTCCCATGGCTCATGAAGCCTGGACAGTAGTAAGGAGCAGTTCAGCTATAGGCTGAGCAAGTGCAGAATGGTGGTAGAACGTGCTTTTGGATGTTTAAAATCTCGCTGGTGCTGTTTGCTGACTAGGTCAGACCTCAGCGCAACCAACATTCCCATTGTTATTGCTGCTTGCTGTGTGCTCCATAATATCTGTGAGAGTGAGGGGGAGATGTTTATGGTGGGGTGGGAGGTTGAGGAAAATCGCTTGGCGTCCGATTTTGAGCAGCCAGACCCCAGGGCAATTAGAAGAGCACAGCAAGGCGTGCTGCACATCAAAGGGGCTTTGAAAACCAGTTTCATGACTGGCCAGGCTTCGGTGTGATAGTTGTATGTGTTTCTCCTTGATGCAAACCCACCCCCTTTGTTGATTTTAATTCCCTGTAAATCAAACACCCTCCCCCCTTCGAAATAAAGTAGCTATTGTTTTGAAATCATGCATTCTTTCTTTATTAATTAAAAAAAAAAATGAGATAACAGACAAGGTAGCCCAGGTGGGGTGGGGGAAGAGGGAAGGAGAAGGCCACATTGCTTATTGTAGCCACACTAAAAATCAAACTGTTTGAATGACAGCCTTCTGTTGCTTGGGCCATCCTCTGGAGTGGAGTGGCTGGGTGCCCGGAGCCTCCCCCTCCGCGTTCTTGGGCATCTGGGTGAGGAGGCTATGGAATGTGCGGAGGAGGGTAGGCGGTTATACAGTGGATGCAGCGGGGGTCTGTGCTCTTGTTGGCTTTCCTGCAGCTCCAACAGATGTTTCATCATGTCCGTTTGCTCCCCCAACAGATGCTTCATCATAGATTCATAGATTCTA